TTTTTGTGGTGGGGCGGGGGGTGGTGGTGGTGGTGGTGGTGATGGTGGTGATGGTGTCGGTGTCGGTGTCGTCGTCGTCGTGCACCTCCAGTCACAGGTTGGTGGTAGCACTGCACTGCAGGAGCGCCAGGCAGAAGGAACTGCACCCGGCTGCTCTGATGGAAATAGCTAATTCTCCGCGCCGCACACGCACCTGCGCTTCATGGGGGGCTCTGCCCCGCTACTTTCTTTCTCCAGCGGTGCGCTGTTATAAAACAGTACTTCCCTTGCATGTTATTTTTAAGAGGAAAAAGTGGTCAGTGTTTTTAAGAAATAGTGTTTATAATAGACACAAGTAATAGCTATATAAATGTAGTGTTATATTAACTTTACAGAGTGCTTGTGGTTTGATTAACACGCCTTCGGTGTCTGTGCTTCTTTTTCTGTATGTCATATGTTTGTGCAGTTTTTATCCAAGAGCTTTTAAGTCCTAGATGGCACAGACCATTTGAAAACAAGTGTAGCTTATTCAGCAAAAGAACCAAAATCTTGGCAAGCCATCAAACAAGGGTAAAAGCAAAAATGTGCAGATACAAGAAGAAAATAATTATATTAAAATTATTTTCTTTCAGTGTGCCTGTTTAAAGCACAAAATTGTTCTAGGAAATGGATTTAAAATAATAAAACACCCAAGTTTTTACACACTTCTGCTGTTGTCTGCTTTTCAGCTGTAGTCTTGTGGAAGAGAGGAGAAAGGGGGCTACCGTTACCTTCCTTGGTAGTAAGAGGAGCGGAGTTCTGCCTCAGCGTTTTCTCCCATCGTCTGTATTTCTGCAAGAGAAGGGAGAAGGGTCCTACCTTAATAGTTTCATAGTGAGAACTCAGATGAGTGCTCTTTGAAGCCATTTTTTCTATCAGAACGATTTTGGAGTAGATGGGAAAGTTAGACAAACACGAGTGGTTCTGTGGGAGTCAGTTGACTGTTTCTCAGCCTGGGTAGTCATCCAAATAGGTACTTGTAACAATGCAGTTCGATATTTTACCATGCAGATTGCTCACCCTCAAGCTGTGGGATTTCTGTCACCGCTTCAGCATGAGCTGCTGCTGAAATCTGTCCCGTCCGCTGCTGTGTGCTCCCGAGTGCCCCTTGTGCTGGGCCCTGTGATACCTGACTCAAGGGGAGTAAGTAGGCTGGAAACTACCGAGATGAATAACGCATGCTTAGTTTTTTTAGCTGGATTTGGCTGCAGCTAGTGCTGGGACAACAGAATGGACGAGTATGAAGGCAAAGCTGCCAATGGGACTTTTTATTTTTTTTGGTAACATCCTGTTGTGATAAGAGTCAAAACCTCAGTTGTACTTTGAGCATCAGAAGGAGCTTGTTTCATGAAATTAAGTGAGCCTCTGTTGTATCTTGTGGAGTTTGTGAAGGGTTCGAGTATCCTGCCTGTTGTTCTTCAGTGAAGAAGAGATTAATGGAAATGAGCGCGTAGTGGATGACAAAGAATGGTTATCAACACAGTAGAATATGCGAGATGAAGAGCAGGATGAGGTCCTGGCAGTGAGGAAGCAATGTGAAACCTTGAAAGTGAGGGTGAGCGGTTTGAACTTACAGGGGACAGATAAATAAAAAAAATTAGAAAAAAATTCAGAGAGGGTAGCCGCAGATAATCTGGACTCCCTGCTTCTCTTATGCTTGATGCCCGATAGTGCTGTGTCCAGGAGATAGGCCGCCAAAGGAAGGAAAATGGTGATAGAAAACTTAATTGAATTTTGTTTACATGTACTGCAAGGAGAAGGGATCGAGTTGAGCGATCCAGCGTTCGGATTGCAGCTTCGTCAGTGCTTTAACTTGCTGTCTGTACCCCAGAAGAAAAGCAAAAACCAGTATTGCTTGACTTCATGCTGGGCAAGGAAAGTTTGTTCAGTTTTGTTTCCCAGCTTGATTTGGAAAACTTGTCAATATTTAGTGTCCCTGATGTAAATAAAAATACATCAGAAAGTAGCAGTTAAGGTATTGGGGTAGGAATGCTGGCACATGAAGTGGGCAAAAGTGATTGCATCAGTCAGAGCTGGAAATGAGCTAAAATATTCATGAATTAAATACAAATGCACCACCACGTTACATGTAGTGAGTCATTTTGTCCTCTTTGTACCTGGGTAACCCTTTTATGTATCTGGAAATGAGCTTTTCACTGAGAACAGATTTGATGTTATGGCTCTGGAGTAGTAAGTAAAAACCTCTTCTCATAACAAGTTCTGTAATTCCCATGGCTCGTTTGTTGATTTTAATGTTGGGAAAGATTCTTAGCAGAATCCGGTTTGGCCTTGTAGATAATGTAGGCCATAGATTGCAGGCTGTGATTCCTGGTTTTAGCTTTGAAACGATAAATGGCTTTAAAAGCAGCCTCTGCTATCATTCCGCATGCTTTTTAAGATAAGCTATGTGCTAATGTTTATTATAAACTGCTTTCCAAATTCCGTACTTTAAGATAAGCTATGTGCTAATGTTTATTATAAACTGCTTTCCAGAGTCAGGCCTGATCTGTGTATGCATATTTCAGAAGTCTGTAATACAGGTTAGAAAGGACACATGATTTTCCTCTGGATGTTGCTAGTTGAGAGTGAAAATTACTGAACATGTACAGCGGTACAGCTTCTCTTTTCACTTCACCCTGCTATTGGGAATATTATCCAGAGGCCGAACAAGGTATGTTAGTCTGCTCTTAAGGTTATATCTCCAAGACACGAGTTGGAATTTACTGCATGGGCTCTTTTATTGACTTTGCCCATTTTTTTGCTCAGCCAAGTTTGTCACTGTTATTCAGTAAAGGTCTTAACCTTTGAGCTGCCTTGTACCTACTCGGTCTTTAGGATTTTGCTTTTTAAAACCTTGTTATGGCCTATACTTGTGTTTATTAGGAAGCTACGGCTTTCCGTGATCAGATACTGCAATTATGTATATGTCTGGTACTTTGGTGCCACTTAGAAATTTGTGGTACTTGATTGTGAGCAAAAGAAGCAAGGAACACTTGCTGTTCCTGGGGTTTCAGATCCAGGCATTTTATATGCTGATCAGTGACCTCAAGGGTTGCAATACTCGTTGTATTTTTCAGATATGCAGCAGTCACGCAGCAATTAATGCAGTTTGGTGTTCTTTAATGTTTTTAGTCTTTTTGTATGATTTTATAGAAATATGCGTTGATATAATCCCTGTTATAGTCTACTGGCAGGCAGTGTTTAAGGTCAGGTTAAATATTAGCAAACTATATGTGGCTTGTATCTTCTATTTATATGTGGAAGAAGCAACTCTGCTGAATAATACTTCATGGCATTTGCTTTTTAAAGACTTCTTTGGATTATTTTTGATAGCATTGACATTTTACTGACTAGCAGCTTTTAGAAAAGGCATATTATGCATATTTTGTACATAATTTCATTATTTCTCAACAACTAGTAATGTGGCGGAGATCAGAGGTGCTGTCAGAATTGAACAAATTAGTTTCAGGCGTTTTACAGTGAAATATGTAGAGAGAAGTACGAGTTAGTTACAGTTATCTGAGAGTCACTGATAATTACCGTGGTATTATTTCATTTATTTTTTCATAGCCATCGTGAAACTATGTGGAAATGGGGTAGTGGAGATGATTCTCCTTCCAAAACAGCAGTAAGTATTGAATTACTATTAAATAATATTGTCTTAAGAATTTCTGACTTAGAGAATCTTTAATTGATGGTATACTAATTGTATGTATTTGCTCTTTCGTAAATAATTTGCTTAACTAGTTTTACCATGACTCAGTTTCAGGACTCTAAAAGTCAGGTTGGGTTCTTGCTTCCTGTTTGCTTGGTATTTAATCTCTCGTGCGTAATACAGCTGCTCTATTCCTCTTCACTATGCTTATCTTGCTTTCAGAAAACATCTGTAGGAATTACATGAGCTTTATCCCAAGTGTATTTTTTGTGTATAGTATGTTCAATATCAATATTTTGTTGCCACTAGGTTCAGTAACATTACTACTGGTTGTTACGATGCAAATCCAGTAAATGAGGAAATACAGTTTTAGATACCTAGATGCTTTGATGGTTTTGCTGTATCTCAAACAAATATTCCTAAACCAGTTTCTAAGATTTATCTGGTATAGGTACACACGGTATATGTAAGTTTTAGTATTGCACTCTAAGAAGATTTGCTGAATGTGTTTAAAAAAACCCCAAACAAACACCAACTGATGACTTTTTTGCAGAAGCAGTATTGTCTGCACCATTTTGTTTGTTCAAAGTATACTTAATGTCTGCAGGCTGCAGGCTCACAAGATGCAAGAAGCATGTCGGTGACAGATTTGACTGAACAGCTGACAAGTACTGAACAGCTGGTAACGCAGCTAAAGGAGCTTGTCAGAGAGAAGGATGCGGAGCTTCGAAATAAAGATCTTCAGTTAAAGGTACCGTGCGTGTATTCGTGTCAAAAAGACTGGTTTAAAAAACCCCTTCAGTCCTGTTTATCATGAGCTGTTTTCGTAGCTACAGGCTTATATTCAGTTACAGCAACTCTAGGGACACAGGAAGCGTTGGTCACAATTAGCTGTTACGGTTTCTGGACGTTACTGCTTTTTGCCAGTGTATTTTCTGTTCCAAAACTGTAACTGGGTTTGGCAATTACACAGGCAACATGTGTTCCTTGCATGAGCGGGTGCACTTAATAATTGCAAGGGACAGACTGACTTCCCGAGAGCTAGAGGTGCACGGTCATGTTAGGCTAAATATGGGGAAAACCACCATCCATATCATTACTGGACACTTAGTGAGATGCCAGCTTACCTCAGACTGAATTTCTGTAGATAATTTTTTATTTCTCCTTCCACTATATATGTCTTTTTGTTGTATAATGATCTTACTATTAATGCTGCTATTTATGCTCTGCTTTTGACTGGCATTAAGAAGGACAGAACTAGAAAGAATTTGTATCTAATACCCTGAAGACTTTTGAGGGTTTGTTATTCTTTACTCTGTTTTTTTAAACAGTCCTAAGGTTGGTCTGTTCCTGCACGTCGTGGTTTGACTCTGGTCAGCCACTAAGCACCACACAGCTGCTCGCTCACCCTCCCCACTGCAAGAGACTATTTTTATACTTTTTAAAAAATGTCTTCTGTGGATGCTAACAGCAAGGTGTTGAAATATTGAATTTTCTAAAACTCATTGTAAATTAACTCATCTCTTTAAACAAAATGAAATATGCTTTTATAGTATTATGAAGGTGTCTTTCTTTTTGCATCCAAATAAAAATATTAACTGTTCTTGTTAAAAAATCAAGCCCTGAATTTGTATTGCTATAAAAAAATAGGAAAATTTCTAACATTATAATGCCCTGGATTCTATACAATAATAATAACCATGTGCAGAAAGTTTAAATAATGAAAGGAAGGTTGTTTCATATATGCAGACCTGTTGCACGTGACATTATAATGTCTCTTCAGGGGAAAGATTTTAGATTTCTCTCTCTCTCTTTTTTTTCTTCTTAATGGAAGAATTGAAGGATGCGGTTGTTCATGTAGCTCATTTAGTCCTTCGTGACTTTGATGTTTGTAGGAGGAGAAGGAATCTGCTGATGCCAAACTTTCCAAGTTGAAGCTGCAAAACAAAGCCAAGGTTGCATCATTGACCTCACAGTTGGAAGAACTGAAGAAACAGTTATCAGTATCAGGAGGCTTAGAGGCAAAAGCAGAACAAAAAAAGGTAAGTGTCCTTACATTTTAAAGCAGACGTTAATTTCTGTAAGGCTGTAGACAGTTTTGCGTGCTGGAGTCAAATGTGGAACCGAAGTTCAAATTTTGAGCTGAGTCAGATTAGGATCAGGGTAGACTGTGTGGGTGCTGTCAGTCCATCTGTGTATTTCTATTTCATTCTTCTTTTATCTTTCTATAGAAATTTAGAAAATTGTACATTCCTTTCAGATTGTTTTAGTAAAAAAAATTCTTACTGATCTTCATCTTATTACCAGCTCAAACTTTTAACACACGTGAATCAGGAAGATAAGTTTTTGAGAAGAAATGGAAGCAAAACCTAACTTGTTACTTCAGTGTCCAAGATAAAAATGGAAATACAAAAATGTCCTTGGTAGCAAAATGTAAATTAAGCGTAGGAATGTCTCATTTAAGTGACCAGAGTTTTACTGTTAACGAAGATTCTCAGATCTGTTTGTAGTAGCGCAGTTGTGTGAGTAGACTTGTATTTCTTCAAAGTAGCGTATTTTGACTTCATACAGCTTCTAAAATAACTTCAGTGAGGCTTTAATACTTCTAGGACATTTGCTTTTTAAAGGTATGCTGAAAGGGAACAGAAACAGATCAGTTTGTTGAAGTCCCTAGGTGTCCTCAAAGACACGCGGTAGCTAATTATTTATGCTTCTGAGCTATTTTGCTAATAAAACGTATTCTTAGCAATTGCACTTGATTTCTTTCATAATGGCAAATAATTTCTATAACCCGGTAGTTATACCTACTGAAATTCTGATTGGAAACATTGTGCTTAGGAACAGTTCAATTTACACTTGCAAACCGTGAGTAAAGTCCACTTTTTCTCACCAGTATTGTCTGAATAGGTAGAGGTACAGAAGTGAGGTGTTACCTATTTACAGAACGCAAAACTCCCTGTTTTTGCAGGCATCAAAAGATGGTGATCAGGAAAATGCTGCGGCAAATCGTGGGAAAATATTGGTACTGAGAAGGAGAATTGAAGAACTAGAATCCCAGATCACACAAAAAAATGAAGAGTTACAAAAAAAGGTGGTGTGTTATATGATGCCGAGTGTGCGGCTTTTCACACTTGTGGTATAGGATTATGTTTAAATATATTTATTTTACTATATTTATATATTTAACTATAAGTTACATTACTAAACAGGTATTCTGAGAGTTTTCTGTTGAGTAGACAGAGTTTATATGCTACAACGTGCCTGAGCAAATGCAGCGAGAATTCTGTCACTGTGTCTTCAGTGAGCAGTGAATCCTCAAGCATTCTTGTGTAGTCGTTTGAAAATGAATGGAATAGAATACACAAATATCAACTTTGTGCGTTAACGTTGTATTTAAATCTTGTATTTTGAACAAAAATGCTGTTTTGCTTCAGTTTTTCTTGTTGCAAAAATAAGTCGTAACAGGAAGAAATGTAGGCAAGGGATGATTTCATGTTATGGTTTGTAGCTGTTCTGTGCAGTGATGTGTTTTGTGGACGTGACTGTTGACTGTGGCAAGTGGCAGGAATGTGAGTGCTGCAGAATTTCAGAGAGAAAGGCTCAGTAATTAAAGATTACACTTAAAATTCAACCAGGTTATAAATTTGATTGTAATTTTTTCAGTACCCTAAACCAGGCAATAAGGAAATAATGCAAACCGTTCTTCTGTGCTGTACATGGTGGAAGTATAGATTAGAAGCAGTGCTGTCTTCTTCATTTTCAGAGTGTTGAACTGGAGGCTCAGCGCTGTCGTGGGGCTGAAATGGATGCCATGCTGGCAGAGAAAGAAAAGAGGCTAGCTGAAAGAGATGCTTATATCATCGATTTACAGATAGCGTGTGGATCAAGTGGTGTTGCCAATGATATACCCTTGCCCAATGAAGAATTGAAGGTATATTAGCAGCTCAAATATAAAATCTCCATAGAGTTTTCAAGGAATCAACGAATTCTGATGCGTTATACGGTGGATCCTTCTCTGAAGCACAAATCCTCTGCAGTTATTCATGTGAATAAAAATTCTTTACTGATTATTTTCATTTATATTAGTAGATCTATATTTCTTTACTACTTTTGTCAGTACCATTTATACATGTTAGTATCGACTTCAGAATCTGCTGACAAATTTCATTCAAATTAAAACCAAACCTGAATTTTGAGTTTAATGTTGCTTTATCTGAGGGAAGGGCTAGGAGGTGGCTTCATGATGGCTTTATTTTTATTCTGGGTCCATTCTTTTAATTGTCTTTTGATTTGCATTCTAAAGAATCAGCTGGCCGTTAAAGAGTCATCACTACAAAGCATGCAGATTCTAGTTCAGAACCTTACCAAGAAGGTTGGAGACAGTGAAGAAAAATGTAGCTTGTTCCAGGAACAGATTGAGAGTCTTAAAAATATTCAGAGCAAAGAAAGAGAGCGTTTCCAAGGAAAAGAAGCTACATATATGGAAAATGTAAGTAAACACGCTGTAAAAATATTTACATTCTTTGGTGGAAGAAGTGGCATCTTGGCTGTAGTGTTTCTATCTCAATAGTTAAGAAATGCCATTTTTAATTTGGGATGAATCTTGAGTAAAGATCTATATGGTGATCAGATGAAATGAGAATAGTGAAGCGCTAGATGGTTTGTGCTGGTGATAATTGAAGTTGAAAGTTTTATGCAGGAAAGGAGTTCAAGGATGCGGCTGGTGTTTGGGCACGGAGGAACTAGTGTGTAACAGAGTGAAATGAGTTGTGCAGAATTCTAGTTGAAGAACCTCCAAACATCTCTTTCTCGTAGCACTACATTTGAAGGTGCAGAAATGCACACATGCAGTGGCCAGTAGTGTTTTTGGATTATTGTAATCATTCTTGGCACAAATGGCTATTTGGCAGATTACTTTCACTTGTGCTGTGAGCTATCTGGCACACTTTTTACCATGAGAGCATAGAAAAAAATTGTTTTTTCCTCCTGACTGAAAAACAGCTGAAGAAGTTTGGTATACTTAATGGGAAACTTTTCTAGAAGTTAGCAGCTGATTAACAGGCCAAGACAAGCAACAACAAGCTGTTAAACAATACTTAAAAAAAAAAAAAAAAAATATGGAACTAGGGAGCATGTTATCCAATCCTTGATGTTACCAGGCTCTTCCAACTCCCTTGCAAGCTAAATCTCAGATTTTAATGTGATGTGCCTGATCTCTCAGCGTTTGAGTTCTACCATGTATGAGACTATTAATCTCAGTATTTCCCACATCATTTGATGTTTGAGTTTATTTTATCTGTAACAAAAATGCTACTTTTGATGCTGAACATGACCACACCTGTTCACTAGCACACAGGGAATTAGTTTTGATACAGGAAAGAAAGAAAAAGGCAAACAGTTGAGACTGTAAAAGCCATTTAGGTGAGCACAGTGTCATTACTCAGATACAAATCTGGGTAGGACTTTATGTGAATTTATTCAAAATAGCTTCTGGAATCTCGCTAATGATATCTCCAGTTCTTGTAAAAATTGTAAGATAGCTAACAAAGACACGTCGGAGGTAGAATACAAGTTTTTGAGGAGGAGGCAGCTAGGTTTCAAAGCTGCCGTTTGGGCTTAATCGGTAGAAACTTTCTAGAAATGAACATGATCATTGCAATCTTTTAGAAATTAGAAGTCTCAGAACAGTGGCATCCAAAAAAGAAAGGTGAAGATCTGTGATCTTAAACAAAATTGAATGGTACCATGCTTCTCACTTAAAATTTGTTATTGTGGAATTGAGACAAATTTTATGTAAGTTGGAGGTTTATCCGCATGCACCACTGACGTCAGTAATCACTGACGGATTAGTATATTTACTGTTAAACAGAAGCAAAATTCAGACTTAAGATAGAATACATTATCTTGCTGTACCTTTAGTTAGACAATTCAGTGTACTTCTACTATGCCTTTGTGACTGGTTTCATATTTACTTTCTATGTGTTTTTAGGTACGTGTGTTTCAAAATATTATCCAGGAAAAGGAAAAGGAACTGGAAGCACAGAGAGAAAAGCATGAGCAGGAGCTCTTTAAATTAGCTGCTAAATCTGATGCCAGTGCTGACCTAGAACAGGTACGTTGCTTTGGAAACTCAACAGCTTGCTTTGATTTAGTTGGACATGGGAATTCGGAATCATGTAATTACTAACCTCTGCAGCACAGTTCAGATGTCTGATTGGGAAAATAAAGATAATTCTTTTTTTGTTCTCTTCTGAAAGTTTTAACTCCTTTATTGATGGCTTGATTTTTTGTTTTTCCTTTTGCTAGCTACTAAAGGCCTTGAAACAGAAGCTCCATGAAAAGGAAGAAGTCATGCTGGGAAGGACACAGGTGATAGATGTCTTGCAAAAAGAACTGGATGCCAAGGACCAGCAATTGAAAGTAAGAAACAGCCTACATGCGCAACTAAACTCATCAGGTCAATTACAAGTTCAAAAAGCTGTTTGGATGTGCGCAGAAGATAATTCTGCATAACACATTTAGGCAGTTCTCTGGAAGGCTTTGACGTGCTAATAATGCAACCATAGTTGTGCAAACAAATACTAATTCCAGTTAGGAAATTAACTTAAAGGAGAGGTAAAGTCCACAGAATATAAAACTGTCAACTCTTGCCTGTAGTTTGTCTTGATTCATTTTGGGAACTTGCCACGTAGGGAAGACTTTTTGCTGTCAAAAGATTTCAGCTTCTCTAGTTAGAGACTGGAGTGAGCCCCAAAACTGAGGGGGCGTGCTTTTTTCCCCCCAAAGAGAGTGTTTTGCTAGTAGTGTGCCTTTCCTTTTGCTGTATTTCTACTGATTGCAAAAGCAATATGTAATCAAGGTTCTTTGTGTTTAAGCACCTAGCATGAACTCTGCTTATAGCCTTTGAGTGCTGCTGCTTCAGTGTAGAAAACAGTGTACAAAAAGGACGTTGCAGTCCCTCAGATAGGCTTCTGGGACACTGCTGAAACAGACACATTATAGCCTGTCTGGGGTGCCAGGTCCAGCATTTTAGCTATACCATTTCCAACAAATTTTCCACTTACCAAGAGGGCTGCCAGAATCAAAATCTTAGCTGAAACTATTTCTAGTATGTACCCAGGTAGATGTCCTGCTCAGGTAGTTAAGATCCATGGTAGTTTAAGCCTGTTGCATTTGTCCTTCCCATTTGTTATGCCTCTGCCTTGTGCAGGGTTGTTTTTTCTTCTGTTTGGGTTAGATGCATCTTCCTACACTGATGCTCTGCAAGAACAGATAGTACCTAGTGCTAGCACGTTGAGGGGACAGAAATGCACACCTTGAGGGTAGGGGGAAGGTTTGACTGTGACAACATGAACTTAAAGCACTTTAAACTGTAATGGAATCTCAGCTTTAGTATTAAAATAGCAGGAAGCCTTGCTTTATTTACATAAGCAATGTTCCTTCTGCTGTTTTGCACAGCTTCTTTCCTTGGACAGTTTGTATTCCTAGGTCTATGTGTTATGAAAGTAGTTTTTTGAACAGCAGGTCTAATGTGAGTGGACTGCTCTGTTAGTGATCTGTAATCTTTTCTACCTCTTTTATGTATTAAAATAACTAATGTAAAGGCACTAAAAGTAGAATAAGCACTAACAGAAAACCAGATAGCAACAAAATACTGTAAAGAAGAACTAGATCAGTTTGCCAACTTTAATTTTAATGGATGTAGGTGACAGCGCCTGGGCAGCATTGTAGTGAGCATTCTTAATCTTTGGGATCACTGTTGAAGAGATCTGCTTCTGGGTTTTTTTTTTAATATTTCATAGAATCAAACATTCTTTTTTTATTCCATTTTCACCTATGGGAGAAGTTGCATGTAGTTTGCAGTCTAATAGTGATGCCATTTTGCTGAAGTCCCCACTTCTGTCTTGGAAAGTTAGAGCTGAGTAGCTTTTTGTAGTAGAGCCAGGTTACCAACAGTAATTGTTTATTATAAATTACAGAATTCTGATTGTAATGTGGAGAAGTATGTAGGAATACAGATATGATATTTGGCAGTGGTACTGAAAGTACTTTGCATTAAAATACAAAGTTTTTTTTTTTTACAGGAGATTAATGAAAACCTGAAACGTCTTCTGTCTGAAAAAGAAAACCTCCAGTCTAAACTGGATGCTGAGAAACATGTAATGAGAGCCCAGTTAAGAGACATGATGGAGAAACACGAGCTTGAAATGACAAAAGTTAGGGAGAAATATAATGCTGAACTGCATGAAATTCAAGAGAAACATGAAACTGAGCTGCAAGAGAAAGATCAGGCCCTGTTTCAGCTTAAGAAACAAGTGGCAGAATTAAGTGGTAGTGGACAGACTAACTCAAAAGAAGTTAGAGATCCGGAGTCTATAACCAAAGAGAAGATGAAAGATTTAGAAGGTATCCTGTTTAAACAGTTGTTACATATGAACGGTTCCTTTGCCCCATACTGTTACATATTGTATGCCAATTTCCTACCTCTTGCAAGTAGAATTACGTTAAATTTGGTGGAAGAGTTATTGCCACACTAATTTAAAAGTATCTGTGCTCAAATACTATAATAATGAGGTTTATAGGAATACCAGGATAATCACGTGAGCTGTAAATTTCTCACTACATTTCTTATGTTTTTCTTTAAATGCAGTTGGCTTCTCTAAGAGTATAACTTCCAATTGCTAAAGGAATTAAACACAGATCTTGTTTTAAGAATATTTCTAGGGTTTTAAATAATTTTTTGTCTCGTTTCTTAGTACAAGTGAAATTGAAAATGGAAGAGGCCAGCAAATCTGAAGCAAAGTTTCTGAAAATGAAGGCTTGGTCTAAATCAAGAATCAAACAACTGGAGGATGAACTAAAAAATGTATGTGTAACATTATGTTTAATATTCCATGCCTGTCTTAAAATCTACTGTGCTAGGAGATTTGACTGAAAAAAGTAAAATATGGGGTAAATAGAATATTAAAAGAATTTACTCCAAAGTATCTTTATATATGAATTAATGTATAAAAACTGAATGGATGTAAAATGTTGATACAGGATGAAGTTTCAACAAAAAATAGTACAAACTGGGGTTACCAGCATTCAGGAGTAAATTTGTTAGAGATTAGCTAGTTTATTGCGCTTTCAAATATTAGAAAAACAGCTATTCTGAATATTACTAAAAAATCAGAAAAAAAAGTTGCATTGACTTCTCGGTGTTTCTGGTGTTTTGGTGCATTTGAAAAACTCATACCTATTTTTTTTTCTTTTAGTTTTCATCAAAGAATAATGATGTATCTGCCTTAAACAATCGTGTCTCAGAATTAGAAATTGAAAATGAAGAATTACAGTCAAAACTGCAATCGTTATATGAAATCAGAACTCAAAATGGTAAAAAAAAAAATCTATTTTTCTTTTGCGGATGATTCAAAGTAAAGAGACAAAGATAAATGAACTTTCTCATTTTTGAAGCGTATCTTTGTTTTTAAACAGATTCTGAAATAACTTCATGCAACTTTGAACAATAGCGTGCAGTACTTAAGTCAGAGTTACAGCTCAGCTGTTTCTTCCCTAAATCTACCTGTGCATAATACTTGCTGCATTTTGGCTTAGGCAGGGTATGTGTAAACTTTCCCAGGAAGTGGAGGAGGCACCTTCTTAGGAGGAAAAATTAGTCCAAACATACTTGGACAATTTATCGGAGTCTATACAATAAACTTTTGAGAGCAGTGAATTTCAAGTAAATTAAGAATTATCTCGTTTTTTTCTTCTGTAAGGATTTGAGGGAGAATTTTTGCTTAAAATCTCAGATAGTTTAGAGTTCGGAGAGATTTTTCTGTTTCACCTTGCGTTATTTCCTCTGACATCCTTTCTGCAAATGAAAAAAGGTAGAATTTTCAGTTCATCAGTCTAAATTGTTAGCAGGTTAGATTTAAAGCACTCATCAATATTTAATAATCAAGTCAATTTCACGGGTAGGTGGACAACACAGCCCAACAGAGGTCTTCTAACTGGAAAGAATTATCATCTGAATTTTCATTTTGAATCTTTCTTTTAAATTTTTACTGATCTTCCTATTACTATTTTGTCCTAATGAGCCAAATTTATTATGTTTTTATAGAAGAATTGCTGACTAAGCTGGAAGTCTATGAAGAGCAGCAAAGGAAATTGCAAGCTGATCTTGACCAAGTTACAAAAAGGGCAGCTTCACAGGTTAGCTTTGAAATTTATTTATATGAGTTACTGATTAACTCAAACGGTGCTAATTAGACTTTGAAAAGCGCGTTAGCTGGATTTTGGAGCTGAAAATTAATTTAGTGATATATGGAATTGTCAGCATCAGTAGCTGTTCAGTTGGATAACAAGCTGACAGGTTTTGAATTACTTAAAAAGATTGCTTTCTACTTACTTTTCCACAGACCGTAAATTATATTTTTCCAAGCAGTTTACTATTTATTTAGTTACACTTAACATGAGTCATCAAAGTGTGGCTGGTACGTTGTATACAATGCGAATAGCTTTCAGAAGGAAGTAATAGCTGTAACCTTGTCAAATGTACAGGTCTGGATAACAAAGAAAATTCTGCTAAAGGGCTTCAGATGGATTAACAGTATACCTTAATCATGGCAACTTTGTACAGCCCTAGCAGCGGAGCCAGTTTGAAACAGTTAATTATATTTTGCTAATAAAGAATTATTTTTTCCAAATTTTGTGGCGAAGGTGGGTTTTTTTTGGTAAAATCTTGAAATAGTTTTTATTTTGATGGGAAGGCAGAAACAGTTTTATTCTGTTCACGGAAAAAAGGTTCATAGAGATTTGTTATCCCACATAAAGACAGTTGAATATTGTTTTACTTTGAAACATTGCTAAGCTGAAAATGTGCAACAAAAATATTTTGGTTAAAAAAGCCATTTTTCGTTTAAAAATATTTCAGATTAAAAGTGCAACTGGCAGTAGCATTTTTGATATTTTATGAAGTGGTGAGGCTTGATTTTACATAATCTACAACAGCAATTATCATCACTTTTTCATAGATTTTTATTTATGCAAAATGGTGAATTATAATGGGTTGCTTTCTCTGTGAATGGTTTGCCAACTTAAAACGTTATTTACATTTGCAGTGGGATTTGGTAAATATATTTTCATGCGCAATTTCTCTTGTTAGGCCAGTGAATCAGGTAGTGTGGATGAATTGCAGAGTCAGCTCTTGGAATGGCAAGAAAATGTACCAGAGTCAGAGGAGTCCCATGATCAAGTCAGAGAAGAGAAATCTGCTATGGCCTTGAGAATGGCTCAGATTGAGGAGGAGAGAGAAGGTGAATTGTTTTATTTACGATAAAATTCTCATATTTATACATGATATATATATATGTGTGTGTTTGATAGCACACCACCATGACTCATTTCTGTAGTCATAAGATTAGTATAGCTAGAGAAATTGCTTAAATTTGCAATTTCTACTTTTTCCTATTTCTGTGAATCTGTTTTTCATACATTCATCTTTTTTGTATCATTTTTATGAGTAGATGTGCTTGTTCCATTTGCCATCTGAGTTGCTGCTCTGTAAGACTGCTTGAATTTACTTCAACAGCTTATTGTCTGCGTATGAATGATCAATGATAAAAAGTTCACCATTGAAATATTAAAGCTGCCTGCCTAGAACAAGCAGTGAAGGTGTGGGGAACTGTAGTGTTGGTTAGAATTTGATGAATGAAGGTGGTGCTTTGGTAAAATGTACCTGAGACAGAGTTTCTCTTTAAATATAAGTGATGAGAAACCTTTCTTAGAATAGTTAGTAATCTGTTAGTAAGCGTCACTTGTATAGGTCATCTGAATAACATTAACTGGCAATAGTTTGGATAGTTAAAAAGGTAAAATGTACCTGAGACAGAGTTTCTCTTTAAATATAAGTGATGAGAAACCTTTCTTAGAATAGTTAGTAATCTGTTAGTAAGCGTCACTTGTATAGGTCATCTGAATAACATTAACTGGCAATAGTTTGGAGCTAGTTAAAAATATTAAATTACCTAAAAAAAATAATATTTCAAGTAATCTCAGGTTTTATAGTTTCCTAAATTATTAATAAAACATGATGAGAAAGTGAGGCAGCTTCTATTAAAACTTACAAAAGTCTGGTTAAATTTCGGATAGTTTTTACTGCTTTTTTCCATGCCATCTAGTGCTGTATTATAATTTTTGTCCTGTTAGTTAACTGTGTGGGGATTAATGGCAAATTTTAATGTGCACAACCTACTGTCATAATTAACCCAGTTAGTTAATTTGAGCCTTCTGTTTTTTAACTGCGATTGAATTATTTTTCATTTACATGATCAATTTGGAAGTTCAGTATGTAAGCATAGAAATGTTTTAAGGATCACATCTCTTCTTTTTGAGCGATTTACGCATGTAATGCTTTGGAATTGAAAGAGAATAATATTCCCTTCATTAAAGCTACCTGTTGTCTCATCTGTGGTAACTACAGATCCACATGCAATATTAATAACAGCTGTAAAATTTCATCTGCGTCAGTCCGTGTTTAATTTTGCATTTTTTTTCCCCTTGGGATAAGCATGACCTTTCTGTTTCTCTTTTCCTGCCGTTACACCTGATGAGCACTCAGCGTCCCTTCCCCCTCCACTCCTACCCTACACTGCGATTTGGTCAGCCAGCGAGAACATAGTTTCCCATCAGTTTTGTGCATGCAGGTTCCTGCAGCAATGGCAACTTGTAATGTACTGTTGCTGATTTCTTCTGTTGTTGCGTCTTTTGAGGAAATCGCCAACAGTACCTTATAAGATTTGCCATTGATGGTATGTGGTTTTTAGCAATACATGTAACAAATGCTGGTTTTAACTTAATTTTTTTTTTTTTCCTGCCTTGCAATACCTGTTTCTTCATTTATATTAACCGAATCATCTTTCTTCATTTTTCTTTGTAGTAACAGCTGACTCCATATTTATGTTGTAACCTTATCTAGAGAAAAATTTCTTGGCTTGCTGCAAGTGGTTGTGACTAAGTAAGAATCAAATTAATTTAAATATTTTTAGTAGTACTTGAAATTCAGGAGTATTTAAAAACAACAACAATTACATTCCATCCCATAAATTGCAGAACTTTGCATTCGTTAATATTAGCTACCAATATTTTAAGCAATATATAAACTCAGTACTCATTCCATCATAGTCTATGACAATTTGCCATTGTCTCTTTTGGGTTGAATGTGTGGGGAGCTGCAAAAGCGTAGAGGATGACAGTATTGATTATATTTATAGACTGGGGCTTGTTTCCTCTGCAAACCACTAAAGATTGTTATATTTAGTGTGAATAGTGACACAAGGAAATATAGGCATGTCATTAGTTAATTTAAATGCAGTGTGTATTGGAAGAAAGGTATTCTGGGAAGTTTTTCAGCTTTTACGTTAGATATAACTGCAAATGAAAAGCTCCATAAGCTGCTGTAATACACGAGAAAATGCATTTACTTCCTAATTGTTGTTAAAGCGATGCTGAATTTAACTGAAAGTGTTTTAACACTTGCCTAAGTGTTCTAAATCGTTCTAAAGCTCTGATTTCTGTACTTTTATTTTTCATGTGACAATGGTAATTTCATTCTTTTTTTCGTTATCCAATACTTAGGAGCCTAAATATTTTGGGTTCTTAAAGGACAGTGTGTTATTCATTCTGATTATACTTAAAACCAGATTACCTCAAGTTCAACTTCCAAGAAATTGATTTTTTTTTTTAATTTATTTTTTTTTTTCCCCTCCAAAGAAGGGGTTAAGTTCTTATCTGGAATAATGCTTGCTCCTTGAATCGTGACTTCAATGACAGTTCTTGTAAACAGAGGTTTAAGGCATGTGACCAAAATTTGGCATTTATTTTTACGGCTTTGAAGAAGTATGTATAATGATTAAAAAAAAAACAAACAAATTGTAGAATCTATACTTGAAAATAAACAAAGGTGTGTAAAATGAATGCTGATAAAGTGGCAGTGCCAGAAGCCAGTGTAATTAAAACCAGAAGTACAATCCAATTTAGCAGTCCTACTATAAAAGGGTCATTAATTTTTTTCTTTAACTTTTTTCCTCTAATCTGTTCTGACAACATGTTAAGTATGTAATTTTGAACTATTACAGGAAGAACTTAAATCTAGTAGGTGTTACACAATTGTGTGTTAATGAAATTTGTGGTACAAGTAATCCTTGGACAACTCAGATGAAAGCTGAGTATTCCCAGTAGGGCTGAATCTCCTAATACTTTCTGGTGTTTACCTCACAGATGCATCGACATAAGTTCTCTGAATTTTGCATACTGTGAGGACAACTGTGGAGTGATGTGGTTCAATTGAAAGCTACATTTGTAATTATCTAATTAATCTAATTTTCAGTTAAAGTATGGAGCCACCTTTACTTTCATTTCTTTTCACTGGCTGCTCTGTTTTGTCTGCTTTGCATGAAACATCTATTTCCTAATCTGTTACCCCAAACATGTTTTGTCATACCACAAAACAGATGGGAATGTACTTTAAATGAAAAATAATTTCTAACCAAGCTACATTTGTAATTATCTAATTAATCTAATTTTCAGTTAAAGTATGGAGCCACCTTTACTTTCATTTCTTTTCACTGGCTGCTCTGTTTTTTCTGCTTTTCATTAAACATCTATTTCCTAATCTGTTACCCCAAACATGTTTTGTCATACCACAAAACAGATGGGAATGTACTTTAAATGAAAAATACTTTCTAACCATGAACAGGATGCATACCTAAGCTTTCATATTCTGAATTTATTCGGTGTGTTTTATTTACAAGTGATTCTGTATTTGTTTTAAAAAGAATGGTATTATTAATTTATGATAAGATGGTTTGATGCCAGTTTGCAGTGTAACACATGCTTGTGACTTCCTCAAATTATCTGGCTTTGTAGCTCATACTAAAATTAAAGTTGAAGGGGACACATGTCATTTCCCTAAAAATGAATGTGATTGTTCAGATTATAAAAACCACAGCTGTTTAGCTGATGCCTTTGTCATACCAATTAGGCATATTTTAACCTGGTAAATTGAAATGAGATGTAATTTGGCATTTTAATTGGTTGGCTTTTTTTTTAGTATCAGCATAACCTCACCCTTTCCAATCTCCTGTATAAAGTCTTCATTTAGAGCTGATGAAGAAGTAAAGTTAGACTTCAGTTTGCTTCTTCTTAGTGAGATATGCAGACTTTATTCTTATGTTCTACATAGTAATGTTGGAGGGAAATCACAAGGTGAACGTAATGGATTGCTGCTTTAATCTTGTTCCTGTCAGTCATTCATAGAGACTTTAGCCTGTCCCTGGTCTCTTGTCATGTAGTAGTGTCTGATAGAAATGTAATTGCTTTCCTGTGGCACAAAACTGATTGAGGATGACTGGTTCTTTCCTGGCTGCTCTGATCCAGCCATAGTCTCAGGGCAACAGGAGCTGGAGGAGGAACTGACCACAGTTCAAGGAATGGGCAGGCTGCAGCAGGCAAGAAGAAAAAGCAATCAGACCAGCAGGAAGGTTCAGGTGGGTTAAAAGAGAGAAGAGTTTATTTCTACCTGTATGTTAATAAAAATACGGAAAGTACTATTATTTATATGGTGCTTTTCACTTAAAAACATTACGGGCTTAAGAACTTAGATTAGTTACGTAACTGAAAACTTTGGTAAATTTAATGATCGTGTATGTAGCCAGCAGATGAGAAATTCCGATGGCATCACACCTCTCTATTCCTTGAGTAATGAGTCTACTTAATTTTACACTGAAAAATAATGAGCTTCCCTTTGGAGTAATTCACATGCTTGAAGCTATGTGCATGCTTAATATGTTAAGGCCGTTTTTGGTTTAGATACAGTCTTTACAAACCTCTTTGTTGGTGGGCTTTACTGAATAATTAGTAAGTAGTGTCAGTTCATTCAGGTGGACTTCTAGGTAGTCGGTGCTGTAACTTGCACGAAAAAATGATAATCTTTTGTAAGAAGAATTAGGATGTCATTGTCACATTAACATACCATTGGAAGAATAATTTTATTTTTAGTTAACTCCGATGCTTTACCCTGGGATGCAGAGAACCCTATTAACTGTAGAAATCAGGGGACCAGTTAAGGTATCCAAACATAGTTATCCATTGGCCTTTCAGATGCCTGAGGGTATCTTCAAAGGCCTGGCAGATACCATACAAAACCTGTGGGAGACTCTGCTTTTCTGGAAATAATGGTTGGAAGCTGGGCAGGTTACTCTAGTGTCCGCAGCGATCCCATATACTTACATTTAGGCACCTGAATCACTTGCTGAGTTTTAGGACTTTTAATTGAAACTACGCTTTTAATAACAGAACGTGTATTTTACCCTTGCTTCCTTTCTTCTTTAAATTAAACTTCATTCTCATGTTTTGTGTATAGGAAGAATACAACTTTGATAGAAAACAATGCTTTCAAGAACTGAACGTCACCTTGGATAGCACTGATTCAGCTGAAGGAGAAAATATGGGAGGTTGGTGGCCAGAGTACACTTCACCTAATGCAGGTGTGATAGCGACTAGACAGTTTATTAAAGCATGCACAGCGTCTGTATTTTGTGTCTATTTTTGTTTTCAAATTCAACTAACAACCCATTTGTGGTGTATTCTAATCTTTGTTGAATTTTTTTGGCTTGTGTTTTCTTCCTTTTCATTTTAAAGCATGTGCGTGCTAGATGAACTGCCTAGTTTTGGTTCAGAAGTAGAATATAAATATGACTAAACACTGGAACTGGTTGAGCCTTGGTGCCCGTGAAATATCCTATGTGGCAAGATCATGTGTTTTTTAAGTTACGAGTCTTGTTCCTGTGAACGTGTTTCCAATCTATATAACAGTTATGTTGCAAAACAGAATTGCATTCCATTGCTGTATGCAATTTTAATTTAAAAATCAAATTCTTATTTTTTTTTAATGCAGATGTGTTTATATCGGTGGTAAAGGCTGCAAATATGTCTTACTGTTAAAGTGGAATAGACTCACTTGCAAATTTTGATACAGACCAGTTTACTTTGTTTATTAATAATTGCTTAAGATCTGATCCTGCAAGTAACTTGTGATTAAAGCAACATGAGCCATGCTGTTGATTGAGTCACAGTACTGTTTAGAATATTTCTGCCAGGTTCTCTGGGTTCTTGAGCTATGCAACTTTACTTTGGTTTTTCAACAGTTAAGAGTACTTTTGCCATCTAATTTTTGGAAACGCAGGGCCTCAAGCATTTCCACTGGTAATGGTTGAGATCTGATTGTGCCCAACACTGGTGAGAATCGTGAATAAAAAGCTGAAACCATTTCTAGACTTCAGGAATTTTAGTAGACCTTTCTTGAAATAATTTTTCTTCTTTGACTTAAGTAGGTTTACGGAGTGTGGTTGAAGAGTTGGAATTGGAAAGAAATCAACTGCAGGAACAAATTCTTTTTCTAGAAGAGCGTTGTCAGGATTTGGAAGATAGATTGCAGCTTCAAGGTAGAATGGAGGCTCTTCAGGTGAGCTTTTGTAGTTGTGTAAAACCTGATGATATAAGAAAATCATTTTATTCTCTGTTTATATTCTTACAATCATAGCCTACAGTAAGACAGAACTGTCAATTTGCAGCTAGCAAAAATCTCTAAAGCCTGCTTTATACTTCCTAATTATGTTGGCAGAGAGTGTACACGTACTATATTATGCTCTGAAGTTGAAGCCTGTCACTTCTGTTCAGCAAAAGTAAAAGTCATTACACAGAGAAACTTGTTTGGAAGTAAGCTTTGTTATTTGTTTTAGAAACATAGTAAAAGGCAACGTGATTTTCATTATTCTTTGTAGGGGGCCTTTGTCAGAAGGTCCAGAATTAGATTGTGTTACTACTGGCGTAAGCCTCCCTCTTCTTGCATCCCTCAAGATTCTTTTATATAAGTGTGTGTGTGTATTATTATTTTAATATTTTTATAAATAAAATCTAAACCCCAGATATTAATTTGATGTATATTTATATTGTAAAATTATTCAATGAAGGCACCAAAAGGAACAGTAAAGTAAATATTTACCAGAAAAATTATTTTTAATATTTCCTGATTGAGAAGTTACTATGTTTGATAATTTGTAAAGCTTATTTTTGCTAAATGACACAACTGATCTCTTACTCAAACTCTTTCAGGCTTGGTGCATTATTCATAGTTCTTTATCTGTTAAGTTGCACATATATAAAAAAGAATTAATGATTTTAAGATGAAAGACAACCTCATATTAATTATTACTTGAGAATCTTGTAACAAAGCCTTTCAATACAGGTAACGTTTGGTGTAGATGAAGAAGGGCAGCTATTGAGGGCTGTACAGGTGTGTTCTGCCTCCTCCAAAATGCTAGCTTATTTTCATTAGAGGTGACAAGTTTGCCATGTTTGTCCTATTTGCTGTTAATTCTGGATATGTGTTCTGCTTTTGGTTTTGGTTGCTGTTGTCAGATTTTTTTTTTGTGGTTTTATTTTTGAATTGGTGCAGTGGATCTGGCTAGAGTAGGAGATTTGTACTGTGTTTAAAAAAAAAAAAAAAAAAAGCTGTGTGAATGAAGCTTGCTTCCTTTTTCTTTTCTCCACAATCCCCTATATGCAGGTTTTTGCATTCCTTCAACCTGAAAAAAATAGGCAAAAAAAATTTGCAAGTTTGGTACTGTCTTCAAACCAATGAGGAAAGTATTTTTTCAAAGCAGTAGCTTCCCCTGTTAAGATAAGTAAGCTGCCTTAACACAGTATGAGTGTGTGTGTTGTTTTGGGGATACAGCAATCATCCTTGAGTTCATGCTATCATAGCATTGCTGAAGGAGGTATTTCTGAAAGGTGGGTTGCACCTATTTGAACTAATATCACATCTGAACTTGTGATATTAGCGTTGTATTTTGCACTGATACCTGCTAAATTGCCAGAATAACGGTCTCTATGACCGTGTAGGATGTAAATCTGCTGAAGAGTCAGATTTTCACGACTCCAGTTATCATATCCTATTCTGGGTGTTTGTATGTGATAACCCTCTTCATCATTATTATTTTGTTGCAGAATGAAAATGAACGTTTGCAAACTCAACTCGCCCAATTACGCAACCAACAAATGCGAGATGCAGAAAAGCATCAAATTCTGATCTCTGGCTTGAATGAGCAGCTTAAAGGGTAAAATAAAGGTTCTTTACAACTCTGTACAGGATTAGCTTTCTTTGCTTTAAGCTTAAACTTCTAATGAGAAGTATAATTTCTTAAAACACTTGAAAGAGAGTTACTTCATTCCTGCTTCTGTTAGCAGTAATGTTACTTTTGTACTTGGAAGTTTAAATGGAAAGTGTAAAATTAATTATTCTTTTAGGAACAGAGTTTGGGGCTAATAAGTCTAGAAAGCTTAAAGCAAGCTTTGTTTTCAAAATATCTAAATACGTATTTTCTTCTTAGATTAAGTGACAGAAATAGCTTCCTTGAAACTTCACTTGGAGAAAAAGAACAAAAATTGAGCACGATCAAATTCTGATCTCTGGCTTGAATGAGCAGCTTAAAGGGTAAAATAAAGGTTCTTTACAACTCTGTACAGGATTAGCTTTCTTTGCTTTAAGCTTAAACTTCTAATGAGAAGTATAATTTCTTAAAACACTTGAAAGAGAGTTACTTCATTCCTGCTTCTGTTAGCAGTAATGTTACTTTTGTACTTGGAAGTTTAAATGGAAAGTGTAAAATTAATTATTCTTTTAGGAACAGAGTTTGGGGCTAATAAGTCTAGAAAGCTTAAAGCAAGCTTTGTTTTCAAAATATCTAAATACGTATTTTCTTCTTAGATTAAGTGACAGAAATAGCTTCCTTGAAACTTCACTTGGAGAAAAAGAACAAAAACTGTTGAGTACGACTGAAAAACTAGAACAAATTGAAACTTTGAGGAAACTGCTTCAAGAAAGGGATCTTCTGAACAAAGAGCTTGGTGAAAAGTTTGTGCATACTGAGCAAAAAGTAAGTTAAATAGTATTTAATTTATTAGAACTGGCAAGCATTAGCCATAACTTTCTACTTGTGTCCCAGCAGCAATATTGCTGTTTTCTGTATCTGAAGGTTTTTGCTCTGTTTCTTCACAGTTTTGTTCACTTCATGTAATTGCTTTGCTTTAAGTTGAGTGTAAGGATTTCTTAGACCCAACACAGAGCTTTGCGTGAAAGTAATTATGTTTTATTGGGGTGATAAGTTATCCTCGTTTATTAATTTCAAAGTATAAACTCCACTGTTACGTAAACTCAATATTATAACTCTAACATCACAGTTTTAATATAATTCTATATATTTCTATCACATTGACTTTTACTTTTAATACTAAGCTGAACGAAGCCTTAAAGAAATGCAGTGTTTATGAAGTGGAGAACACTGAGCAGAAAACAGTCATCAGTGATCTAACAGAAAAAGTTGCTGCACTGAAGGAAAAGGTAACTCATTAAAATAAAGTAAGAGAAGAAATGTTATGGCTTTTTGACATGGCCCATTTAAATGTCAGCAAAATAATGGCATTAGCTGCTAAAAATTACATACAGTAAAATTCCTGTATGCTAAAACAATTTAAAGAATAACATGGTTATCTTGTGACTATGCAGTTGGGTACGGATTGATTACCTTAGATACTCGTTCTACGTGTGGAATGTAACTTCCATTCTCCCTCTAACATATGTTTGACGTATTCTTGTAACATTATTTTCTTGATGTTTAGACTTTGAAACAAGATGGCGTGGTAGAGTCGATGCAGCTGGATCTGGACCAGACAAATGAAGAGCTTGACAAATTGAATACAAGCCATTTAGAGGAAAGATCTCAACTTATTCAAGATCTCCAGAAACGTGAAAGAGAAATTGATAATCTTAAAGAAGCACTGGCAGAAAAAGACAGGGAGATGTCTGTCCTGTCTTTGAATATGACGGAATATTCTGAACAGGTTATCATCCTGAAGCGTCAAGTGCAATGCAAAGAGGAAGAAATACGAGGGATGGAAGAGGCTTTATCAAAGGCTGAAAGGGAAGCTCATTTACTGAAAGAAGTACAAACAGCTGATGTAAGAGATGCAAGCGTGAAGATATCTGTCCTTTCTGAGCAAAGTAATACAATGAGGCTAGAGCTAGAAAGAGTTAGAGTTGAGAATGAAGCTAAAACCAAAGAAAATGAGGAATTAATAAGACAAAGCAGTGAGAACAGCATTACAATTAAGGATCTCCGTTCTGAAATCAAAGCCAGCAATGTTGCATATCATAACAAACTTGCGGAGTGTGAGTCACAAATTACTTTGCTGAAAGAACAAATCAGTAAATCATCTGAAAAGCTACAAGAAACTGAGGATAAACAAAGAAAAGAAACCGAATATTTGAAATCTCAGCTTGAGGAAAACAATACTCTAAAGGAAAAATGGAACAATTTGCTTAAAGAGAAAGAGAGTAAAGCACAGACACTTGAAAATGAGTTAAAATCAATTAAAGATGCATATAACAAACTGGTTTTGGAAAACGCTAAAAAAGATGAGGAGCTGGCTGAGTTATCTAGGAAGCTTATAGAACATACCGAACGTCAGGAAACAATTAAACAAGAATTACAAGAGAAACAAGAGTTCATTATTTCATTAGAGCAGAAGCTTGGGGTTTTGGAGCAGCAAAATGAAGAGACTAAACTTAAATTAACTGGAGATCTGAAAGCCAAAGAGACGTGTTGCAAAGAACTTAATAACCAATTAAATGAAATACATAAACAAATTAACAAGATGGAAATAGAGACATGGGAGAAAGCTTCAGCTAATAAGCAATTGCAGGCAGATCTTGAAGGGCAAGAAGAAAAATTGGCAGAGCAAATAAAAGCAAATGAATATCTGAAAAAAAGTATAGATGTCATGCAAAAAGAGAAGGAACAGCTGATCAGTGAAAATGAGAATTTATCCAAACTCCTGGATGTAAAAGAGTGTGAATTGTTAAAGAAAATCCAGGCTGTGGCAGAAATAGAGAATAAGTTATCTGTTAGCACTGCTGAGTACGAAAGAACTCTTTCAGTACTAAATTGTGATAAAAACACTCTGGCAAAAGAGATTGAACAACTTTCAATACTTGCCAAGCAAAAAGAAAATTCAGTTGCAGAACAGCTGCAGGAGAAAACAAAGGAATGTAACGTGCTAGCTGATCAGTTGTTTGAAAGCAAGGAACAGACACAACAGTTGCATGAACAAATGCAATCACTTCTCATTCAGCTGAAGGATACTGGAGACAAAGAAATAAAGAAAGAAGAAATGTTAAATAATAAGTTATCTGAATGCAGTAGCCTAATCCAAGAGCTCAGCCATAGTAAGGAAAAGAATTTACTACTGCAGGAACAAATTCATATTGCAACTTTGGATTTTGAAGCTGCGAACAGGTCTCTAGAAGAGAAAATCCTTCAAAATGATTCATTACGTAAGGCAATGGAAGAGAGTAAGTTTTGTATTGTAGAGTTGCAGGATGAAATTAAAAGTCTTAAAGATGAAAAAACAAAGTTATCTCAGTTGGTAGAGGAAAGAGACCTGACTGTAAAAAGTCAGGGTTCAGAACTTGAGAAGTTTCATAGGCAAGTTTCTGAAAAAATGGGAGAAAGTACAGTGTTAAATAATAAGCTACAGCTATTAAGCAAAGAAGTGGATGTGCTTAAGCATGAAAAGGAGGACTTTTCAAGCTTATTGAGCGAGAAGTCACGTGAATGTGAAGTTCTTCAGTCACAGTTGGTACAGCAACAGTCTGAAATTACTTCAGCAAGGCAACAAGCACATACAGCAGCTCTAGAAAATGAAAAATTGAAAGTAGACATTGAAACAGTTAATGTTATGGTAATGAAAAAGTCAGACGAAGTAGCTGCTTTAACCTCACACTTGTCCCAACAAAGTCATAATATTTTAGCTCTGAAGGACCAAATTGATGGCCTCTTGATTGAAAAGGAAAACTTAAAAATTGTCTTTGACGAAAAAGAAACTCTCCTTTCTGAAAAGGAGGCTTTGATTCAGCAGATGAAAGAGAGTAAAATGGCAGGAGAAGGGCAATATATGCAAATCATTTCAGATCTGCAAAACCAAATACAAGCCCTAGGTTTTGAAACCAGCCAGCTTAGACATGCAGTGCAGGAAAAAGAAAATGAATTTAAGAGGCAAGCCCAAGAATTACAGTTATTAAAAGATAAATCTGAAGAGTCTGATGTACTTAGGGTTCAACTGTCTGAGAATATGGAGGTTATTTCTGACCTTCAATATCAGCTTAGAAATGTGACGGAAAAATCATCCCAGTTGAATGATTCAATTATACAGAAGGATGAATCTTTAAAACAAAAGTTAGATGAATACATCAGTTTAAAAGCGCAGCTTTCTGAGGTACAGGCGTCTTCTGTTTTGCAGCAGAAACAGTTGGAGCTTCTAGCCTCTGAAGCGGAACAATTAAAAGTACTTGTTTCAGAAAAAGAATTAACCATCAACGATATTTCACTATCTAGTGAGAATTTAAAGACGCAACTTCAAGAGAAAGAGAATGAATGTGAGGTCTTAAAGAAACAGGTGGTAGAGCTGGAGGAAGTGAAAGTGAATTTACAAAAAGAAATACAACATCAGAAGAATGTAATAATTGAGATGGACCAGTCCTTATCAGAAAAGGAGTCATCTCTTAAGGAAAATAAAAGTCTCCTCAAAACTCTGAAGGAGAAAGCAAGGAAAGATGAAGAGAAGACAAATTTAATTTCTCAGCTCAAAAGTCAGGTACATGAACTAACACAAGAACTACAGAAATCTAAAGAACTAGTCCATGAGAGAGAAGGTGCCTTTTTATCTCTTCAGGAGAAAATTGAAGCGCAGTATGAACATAGAACTGAGTTGAATGCAGCTCTTGAGAAAAAAGAAGAAGTCATTGCTGGACTGCTTAATTCTTTAAAGGAGAAAGATACCAGTATACAGTTGGCAGATAGCAACGTTAATGTTCTTTCTAGTGAGATTGAGGTTCTCAGAGAAAAATTAGAGAAAAGTGGTACAGCCATGAAAAACCTTACTAAGGAATTTCAGGAAAAGAACGAGAAGCTTGATATTAATCAGAAGAAAATTGATTCTTTGACAATTGAACTTGACTCGCTTAAAAACGAACACCAAAAAGCACTAGACCAAATAAGTACATGGGAAGAACAACTACAGCAAAAAGATTTGTCTGTGAAGTCTCTGCTTGTGAAGTGCACTGAACAGGCAGATAACATAGCATGTTTGAAGGTAGAGTTGAACAATGTAAATTCCAAATCGTCTCAAGACTGCCACGACAATGCGCTTTCAATAGTTAGTCTGCAGTGCCAGGTAGAGTCTTTAGAGGAAGAAAAAAATCGGTTGCAAGAAGATGCTGATAAACTGATGGCTGAAAACGCACAACTTGCTACATCTCAAAATCATTTGCAAAAGAAATTGGAAGAGCTCCAAGAAATCAATGAAAAACTAGAAACCAGCGAGAATTATTCAAGAATGCAGATAGATGCTGTCAAACTGCAGATGAAGACTGAAAAAGAGAAGTTACAGATGCAGGTTAGTGTGAAGGGTGAAGAACTTTCTAAACTAGAACTTAAATTTGAAACTCTAGAACAAAGTCTGCTTGAGTCAGAGAGCAAATGGGTGACGGAACTTGATAGGGCAACTTTACAAAATAATAATCTTACTGAGCAATTGAGCAGTTTAGAAAGTGAAATGAAATCAAAGGATAACAAAATCCAGTCTTTGCAGCAAGAGCTGGGTCTTATAAAAGAGGAATTAACTCGAAGCTTATCTCCATTACTTAGTAGTAAGCTTTTATGTAAAGAAAAGGCACAGACTTCAGATTCTGAACTGCAGCTAGCTGATAGTAAAATTCAGTTGGAAAAACTCTCCACTCTGATAACCACTATTTTGAGCAAAGAAACAGAAGGAGAACAATTGCAACTGGTGCTTTTAGAAAAACAAAAGGAAATAGACACCATGAAAGATGAATTAAAAAGTATGCAATCACTTGAGAAGCAGAAGGAGTTGCTGCAGAATGATATTGAAAAGATGAAGGGCAAATACAAATCTGAAATTGAATGAAACTCTCCACTCTGATAACCACTATTTTGAGCAAAGAAACAGAAGGAGAACAATTGCAACTTGTTGTTTTTGGAAAACCAAAGGGAATTGGCCCCCTTGAAGGTTGATTTAAAAGTATGCAATCACTTGAGAAGCAGAAGGAGTTGCTGCAGAATGATATTGAAAAGATGAAGGGCAAATACAAATCTGAAATTGAATGTCTGTCAAAAAAAATGGTTGCAGTCAAGGAAACATTATGTAAACAACAGTCTCTCTTGCAAGAAAAGGAGGAATCTTTTGCAGAAATAAATAAGCAGGTTGAGTTTCTTCAAGACAAGATAAATAAATCAGAAGAAATAGTAAGAACCAGTCAAGAAAAACTGCACATTGAAGGTAAAAAAGTAGCAAGTCTCCTTGAAGAAGTGGGAAAAAAAGATCAACTCATCGAAAACTTAACTTCCCAGGTAAATCAGCAGAAGGATTTAATTTCTGGTCTAAGCCAGCAACTGAAAGAAAAGGACTGTTCTGTTACCCAGATCATGGAATCATTGTCTAATGAAATGCTGAATTTTTCTGAAGAGAGAAACACATTAAATACCAAACTGCAAGACCTCGAAGCTGTTCATAATAGTTCTGTGGGAGAGCTAAAACGGGTATTGCAGGAACTTGAGAATTGTAAGAAAGAGCTGGAGCGTAGTCAGGTTATGTTAAGCAGTAGAGAAGCCGTGTTTAAAGATTTAATGAATGAAAAAGAGGAGATGCAGTTTAATCTTGAGAAAATGGGCAAGGAAAAAGAGAATCTGAAAAAGAAACTTCAAGCAGCCTTGATAATAAGAAGAGATCTAATGCAAAAAGTTGGAAAACTAGAAAAGAGTGGACAGGAAGAAATAGAAAAAGAGCAAAAAAAAGCAGAGGAGCTGTTGAAGAAAGTTGATGAGTTAACAGACAATCTGAAACTAGTTGAAGTAGAAAATAAAGATTTTAAGTCTCATCTTGGAACTTTGAAGCAACAACTTTTAGAAAAAGATGCCAAAATAAGTGACTTGACTGAAATTTTGTCTTCAAAAGCTGCTTATTTAGAGGAACTTCAGGACAATATTGCAGAACTAAATGATGTCATTGCTGATAAACAAAATACATGTGCGCAGAACCAAAAATCTTTAGAGGAGAAGGACTGCATGCTTGCTCATATGCAATCTATGCTTGATGAAAAAGCAAGTGCATATGAAGAGGAACGTTCTCAGCTGCTCTTAGCTCTTGAAAAGGTGAAGTCTGAAGTTAAGAAGAAGGAAGAATTGTTGAAAAATTCCAGTTCAGAAGAGCCTGGTTTAAGTGGTGGGGACAGGAAGAAGTGTCTGGACCCCAACAATGACATGAGTGTCATGAATCAATTAAAAGAAGAAAAAGAAGCCTTAGAAAGGGAGCTTTTGGTCAGGAAGGAAGATATGAAAAAAATTCAGAAAGAAAGGGAAGAGCACACTAAACTTGCAGCAGATTTTGATGAACAAAAAAACCACCTTGAGCAACTCAAACAAGAACATAAAGCACTCTGGGAAGTTCTTCAAACAAAATGTGAAGAACTTGACTTTCTTCAGTTAGGAGACTACCCTCTAGGGAAAGAGCTGGCTTCACCTAAGGCAGTGCTGGGAGAAGAAGCAGCTGACCTAAGGAATTTGGAATCGGACAAACCAAGAAGCAAGGTTCAGGTTGCATCCTTAAAAGAGTCAGAAAACATGATCACTTCAGTGGCAAGTAAAGACGCTGAGTTAAAAGAACTAAGAAGTAATTATGCAAAACTTCAGGAGGAAACAGAAATGTTAAAGAAAGAGTTGAGAAAAATATCAGTTGAATTTGGTGATGAAAGAGAAGAAACAGTCAACTTAAACTCTTTGAGGCAGCAGGAGCAGTACCAGGAGCAATGTGAGGGCAGCTTGTTGGAGGACATAAAGCAGCTGCAGAAAAAGCTGAAAGCATATGAGGCTGAAGCTATAGACATTAAGACAGCGCTTGAACACGTGAATAATGAGAAAGAAGCACTTATTAAAAAAAGTGAAGAGGATTACAAGATGAGCCAGGAGAAACTGCAGAGATTGAGAATTGAAGGTAAGAAGGAGGTTGCAGAAAAGAATGAGGAAATAGAAGCATTGCGTTGTTCACTTACCAATTTCAAAGATAAACTTGATCTGGAAAAGGAATTATTAAATGAAGCTATAAAGGAGGGCCAAGAAGCAGCCCGCCATTACAAAACGGCATTTGAAGAAATGAAGAGTGAAAAAGAGAAACTTCTCAGTTGTTTAGAAAAGTCCAGTTTGGAACTAATTAATATGAAAAAGGAGGTAAAACATTTCAGTGAAGAAAATAAAAAACTTCTGACAGAGCTATGTATGCTACGTGAGAAGGCTGAGATGAGTAGACCTGTGGTGTCATGCAAAGAGCTTAAGGAAGAAAATGATACTGAAAAAGAATTGGGAGAGTTTTGTTCGGAAAGTAATTCCCTTCAAGGAAAGTTACAAGGTAAAGGCACAGGTTTTCAACTATCAGAGACTGATTACTCCAGGAAAACTAAACTGAGAGAAGCAACAGAATGTCAAATCCAGAAACAAATGCGAATGATTGAAGAGCCGCTGGCAAAAACTGCAGATGTAAATGATTCTAAACCACAAGAGCAAAGAACTATAGCAGAAGAGAAGTCCAGAGAGCGCCTTCAAAGAAAATTACAGGCGGCTTTAATATCACGTAAAGAAGCCCTGAGAGAAAATAAGTGTCTAAAAGACCAGATTGATAAGCTGATGTTGGAAAGAGAAGAACTGGTGAACAAGACAGGTATGCTTGAACACTTGTTAGAGCTTGGTAGAGAAAAACAAAGTTCAAGTACTGCTTCTGCATTGTCTGAAGAGGAAAGCCTTGTTTCTGAAAACGCTAGGCTGTTGACTGAAAACGAAAACCTCACCGCGGCATGTGAAAGTCTTAAATCCACCATGGAGACGATAGTTCAGGAAAAAGAGGCCTTTTCTTTCCAGCTGAATACCTTAAAAGATTCTCAGACAGTTGAATTAACAGGATGGAAGGCTAAACATAGTGAATTAAAGCAGGAGTATGAATCACTTCTTCAGGCGTATGAGAATATCAGTAGTAAAATAGCAGATATGAGGCAAGTTATTGATCTCAGTAGAAAAGAGAAGCAAGAGGCTATTCAAAAACTCAGGGAAGGAGAATCTGAGAAGGAGGCTCTCGAGAAGCATTTACAAAAACTCATTGATGAAAATGAGGTTATTAAGAATCAACTGAAACAACTCGGTGAATCCAAGAAAATGGAAGTTGACGAATTACAAAGTAAAGCAGAAAGGCAGATACGTGAGCAAGAGGCAAGGATGCAAGAACACCAGGATCGTCTCCATGAACTCACTGAACAGAATCATCAGCTAATGGAGGAAAATGAGCAACTGAAACAAACTTCTGAAAATTTAAAGCAGGCTTTAGAGAAAATTCAGAATGAAAATGATATTCTTCATGACAACATCACTGTAACTAAAGCAGCTTTGGGAGAGCTCCAAGTTCAAATGGAAGTGTACCAAAATGATATGCAATCTAAAATCAATGATGCATTACATGAGAATGAATCATTGTTAAAGGACGCTAATGTGTTAAAGGATAAACTCTCTGAAAAAGAACAAGATGTGCTTGTCCTAGAACAAGAAAGAAAATTAATTTCAGAAAAAGCAAAAGAAACTGAAAAATCTTTGGACCATAAGAATCATTGTCTAACAAAGCTGGACATGGAATGTAAAAGTCTTACACAAGAAATTGTTAGTCTAAATGAAAAAGTAAAGATTTTAGAGGATGATAAATGTCTGTTACAGGAAGAATTAGAAAATGCACAAGAAAGTTCTTACAAAGTAAAGAATGAGAGAGAATTTCTTGAGACAGAATTGCTTAATCATGTTAAAAAAGTTGATCATCTTACTGATAGAATGAAATCAGCACAGGTACAGAATAACTTGCTGTTACAGCAACTGGAAGAATTAAAGGCAGAAAAATGTAACATGATTAGAGAAAAAGAAGAACAACAGTTACATCTTGTAAAAATGTTTGAGGAGAAGGTGAAAAGTGCTCAGAGGGATAATAATGGGAGTAAAAACAAAACAAAAGAATTGCAAGAACTCTTAAAGGAGAAACAGCAGGAGATCAGCCATTTGCAAAAGGATTCTATAAAGTTCCAGGAGCTGATCCTGGATTTGGAAAGATCTGTGAAACTGTCACAGTCAAAAAGTGAAAAATTCGAAAAGGACTTAAGTAATACGTCAGAAAAGCTTGCGAAGTCAAGTGAAGAAATATATCAGCTCAAGGGAAAGCTTTCTTCACAGGTGAACTTGTTGGCTCAGTCAAAGAATGAAGTGGGCAGGCTTACAGATGAGAATCTAAATTGGAGAAAAGAACTGAAGAAGAAAGAAGACGAGCTACACATTCAAAAGAGAGAATATGAGAGAGAATTGGAATTTAATCTTCAACAATTAAAATCGGTTCACAAAAGAGAAATTTTGAACCTAGAGGAAAGACACGGTGCCCTTGAGAGAGAAAAAGATAGGGCAATTAGTGAGATTCATGGTTTGCAAGACGAAGTTAGCATTAAGGACTCTCAAAACAAGAAACTTCAAGCAGATTTGAATGCGGCTTTGGCACGATTAGCTGCTTTTACAAAGTGTATGTCCTCTCTTCAGGATGACCGGGACAGGGTAATCACTGAAATGAAAACCTGGGAAATGCAGTTCAAAGAGGCCATCCAAAATAAAGAGAAACAGATAGAAGACAGTAATAAAAGAATAACGTCTTTACAAGATGAATTGAGAGACAAAATTACTCAGATTCAAGAACTGAATATCAAATATTCTGTGGTAGAGGAAACAAAGGATGAACTGTATTTGAGGCAAAAATCTGTTGATACACAACGCTATGAAGAGCTCTGCAGAATAAAAGAAGAAAATACAGTTTTTTTTAACAGGCAGCAAGAATTGGAGAGTGTTCTTCAGTCCAAAGAAGAAGCTTTGCAAGCACTCCTTAAAGAAAATAATTCTCTTAATCATCTGATAGAGAATAGTAAAAGTGCAGGAAGAGAGATAAAAACTCTGGAAAGTAATTTTACAAGACAGGAACAAGAGTTGCAGCAGCTTCTAGCCGAGAAGGAAAAAATTAATGCTGAATTGCAAAAGCAGATTACCATTTCTGAGCAAATGAAGATCATGCTAAATAATAAAGACAAAGAAATTTCCTTACTCATTTCTTCAAAAGGTGATGAAATTTCTGACTATCTGATTCAGGTACAGACTCAACATAGAAAACAAATCAAAGAGTATGAACTTCAGTTAAGGTCTTTGCAGATAGAGAGACAACAATCTGAGGAGTCCTGTCAGAGGATGGAAAACGAATTGAGAAATCTCCAGATGAAAGCAGACAAAGCAGGTCAAGATAAGGCTGCAATTGCCAGTGAAATAGATGCCTTTAAAAAATCAATGTCATCTCTTCAGAATGATCGGGATGATCTTTTTTCTAAATACAAAGAGCTGGAACATCTTCACCGAGATGTCTTAAATCAGCGGGACAGTCTTATAGTTGGCAATGCAAGTGAGAATAATGCTTTGAAACAAGAATTAAGGATACTGCTCAATCAAATAGATGATCTTCATTCCGAAAATGCAATGCTAAGTGCACAGCTGATAAAGTATAGGGAGGATCTTAACCAAGTTTTGTCTCTGAAAGACCATCAGTTGAAAGACTTACTTAAGCAGAAATTGGATTGTATTAAAAGCCTTGAACAAGAAAAGTACGATCTTCAAAAACAAATAAAAGAAATGCAACTTTCCAATGAACTGCAAAAGGATACTGTTGTATCTCTGGAACATGAAAATAAAAAATTAGTGTCTAAAGTAAATGATTTGGAATCTTTAATTGCATCATTAAACAAAGAGAAACTTGTTTCTGAATCTGGAGAGAAACTGCGAACTAGTGATAGCGTTCAGAAAAAAGAATGTGTATCAAATGGACAGTATGGAGAAAATCTTCCGAAGAAGATTCAAGAACTCCAGAAATCAAGAGGCGGAAATACTAAGGGTGCAGATGAAGAATACAGTAAGACTCTTTTGACACTTGAACATGGAGATGAACCTGGTGCTTTTGCAGAGAAGATGATATTAGAAGTTCAATCTCAAAATAGTGAGCTGAGGTCCCAAAATGAGGCCTTTGGGAAAGCAATGACTGCTCTGCAAAATGATAGAGATAGGATAATAGAGGACTTAAAGGTACTTCAGAGCAAATACATATCTGAACTCAAAACTGAAAAAAAGAGAGGAGATGAACTCGAAGCTGAATTGGATGGCTTTAAATTACATCTTATCAGTATGCTCAAAGAAAATTCTCTTCTGAATCGTGTTATTTTTGATGCTGCAGATAAGGTTACACTTGATCAGATTGCTGATGAAATTGAAAATCTCTGTAGGACGTTTGTTAGTCGTGAGATGGAGATGAGCAGGCTCTCTTCTGAGTGTGGGAATTATGTTCACCAGATTGAAGCGTTTTCCAAGGCTATGGCCAGTCTTCAGGATGACCGAGACAAATTGCTGCAGGAACTCAGCAATCAGAAGGTAACTTCTGAAACAAAACAGGGCACAGCTTCATTTCCCATTGGTTGCAACAGCATCAGTGAGATAGATTCTTTTAAAAGTAATTTGGATATGCCTCAGAACAATAGGGAAAGATCGGTAAGTTTTAATTAGCTACATCACTTTGTAATTTTTTTTTATGCAGAGAATGCTTAGAGACACTGGATTCTGAAGTTTAACTTTGAAATTATGTGAGTGCTGAGAAAACATTGGGTGACTAGAGAAGGTGTGCTTACAATTTTGGGAGTTTAGGTAAATATCCTGTTAAACAGGAGCAAATGGGGGAAAAAACATTATTCTGTAATTAGAATTCTAGCACTAATAAAACTTCAACCATATAGTTTTCATTCCAGTTCACTAATCATGTTTATTAAACGTAGGCTAAAGAAGGAGCCAGCTTTGCAGCTGTTGAAATATCAAAACTGAAGACCAAGGTCGATGATTTGGAGAAGGCATTGCATCAGACAAAAGCCTTCCAAGCAGAAACTGAGAGAGAGATTGCAACATACCAGAATGAGCTTGCTGGATTAAGGTATAAATGTTAAAATTAACAAATAGTACATGTGGCGCTTGTTTAGAGTTCTTCAGTGACTTCACAACCTGACATAAAACTGACACAAAACCAAAGTTATGTATAGTTTAGCAGGAAGTAGGATAAGAGTATTTCTGTAATGTGCGAAATCAGCTTCCACAGAGTTGTCTTTGTTCGTGGTTATCCTTCTATGTAATGGTCTCTTTGTTTATGTAAAGTTTCAGGCAGTCTTAATTGAATGTTTTCTGTTCTGTTGGTGACTTGGATATATGGAACTACAGTTTAAGAATCTTATTTCAATGCTTGGTATTATATTCTCTTCTTAGAGTAACGATTGATATGGCTGAACATTGCCCTCCAAATCTCTTTTTTTAAAAGATGTCTGAGGTGTTGCGTATTTGGCCCAACTACATGTTGAAAATTAACTTCATTTCACATTTGACCATTATTTTTGTAGATTCAAGAGTCTGCTTCAGCACTGTTCACATCTTGCATCATCTGTGACAAATGAATAATGTGACACCTTGGGCCTGATTCGGTGAATGCATCATGAGGTCTGCTTCAAAGAAGGCAGTAGGCATTTTTAAGTGGCACTCAGTGGAGGCAGATCAAGATTTGGTCATCTTGGACTGCTGTTACCGTTCAGGCTTTTAAACTTGTGCAAATGATTGAAATGTGAAAGCACGTTATGATCAGTTCAGTGAAGATAATTGTGTTTGAGTTTGAGGTCAGTAGGCAGTATCCTAGTGCCGTACGGCATTTTAGTCCCTAGTGCCACTTCTAGATCTCTAATTAAAGTCTGTGTAAGATAATATCTGTTTTATACTAGAAGCTCTTGGGGGAGGGGTTGTAGATCAAAAGGCCAGCCCCACATTTATCTTTGCAAATGTGAGCAAGTTAGCATGAAATACTCAAACCTCATTCTAACTTGTAGACTTAACCAGTGAACAGCATGAATAGTCTTTTTCCATTTTTTTCCCCAAACTTCAAAACCATATATTAAATTGGATTCAAAAGGATTTAAATTACTTTTATGCCCTTTGTGGTATTGCCTGTGTATGACAGCAGTTTCTGGAGATGTGGTATGTTTGTTCATTTCAGTCTTCTGAGTCTAGGGTATTCCTTTTCAAACTTGTGTACTTGCAATAGGGTAGGCTGGCTATCTTGTGCGGCACTCTACACGACTGCGACCTAGAGTTTCTTTGCTGCGTGACCTTATTTTTTAGGTGCTGAAGCATGTGCTGTGTTAACAGATGTTAGTATCTTTACAGCCAATTAACTTCTCTTATCTCTAAGCCAGTGAAGCAAACATGATGTTATCACTTTCCAGGCTTTATTTTCTGATACTTTTTTTTTAGCAGGTGTCTTTAAACTGAAGTATGTATTGAGAATGTTAATATAGTGCTCCATATTTGCATATAACCGTTCAAAAATACCATTATTTATTTCAGAAATAACAGTGAGTACAGCTTTATCCTTTTCATTCACTAGTATGTAGTATATTATCATATAACGTTGAGTCTAATATTTTATGTTCAGAATGGAAAACAACCTCCTCCTCTCAGAGTCCCAGGCACTGCGAAATCAATGTCAAGTCACAGTTGCTGAGAAAGACCGACAGATTGCAGAACTACAGAAGCTGCAACAAGACATGATTGTTAAGAAATCAGTCTCTGCTGGCAGCAATTACCCCGTCAAGGTAAACAAATGAAATGTAGCAGGAGGCACAAATCTACTTCCATCAGTTTATTGTATTAAATTTGCAGCCTGCTTCCCAAATGAGAACTACACAGCATATGGTAGTGAAGTATGGAAGGCTGATGAGTGTGTTACCTGTATGTCAGTGTTGCCTGGGGTCAAATCAGCAAGTTACAACTATTCCAAGCAAATGAGTTGCAATTATTAAAAACACTTTTTAATGGAGTCTTGATATATTGATCAACTTCTTTTAAACAAAGAAAAATAATGAGTTTCTCATCAGTTGAGAAAATAACAGAGAAAACTCACTGGTGTGGTGTATTTTAATGGTTAAAAACATGGAAAGCACTTGCAGAAAGAAATGAAATGGTTGCGAAGGTCATGAACTGATAATGGTTACTGATTCTTAGTCAAAAAGGAGTAACAATTTGCTGTGGTTACACTGTAAGGTAATGGTATTTGCTTGTTGCTGAGTTGCTAATGTTAGTAGATTACTTAAGTAATTTTGTAAGTTTTTATCTTAGATTAGTTAAATCCAGAATATAATACAAAGACATTTAAAAAACCAAACCAAAACAAAAAAAAGATTCAAACATGGTTCAACAGCAGACCGGGTGCTGATAAAGAGACACACATACTGGAAGGGGTAAAAAGAACAATTTACAGGTTTCTCAGTTAATTCTTTCAAATCAAGAAGAGGATAGGGAATTTTCAGGCAACTCAAGGAGGAACTCTTCTCATGTCATAGCTGAGATGAAACATGTTATGTCCGTAAAGTGGGAATATAATTCTGGCTTCTTGTGCCAGTTTCATATCTATCATGAGTCTCTTACTGTTCACACTATTATAACACCAGTGTTGTTACTTGTTCCTATAGCACACTTGTTCGAAAGAGAATAGGATGCTGTACTATTACATGTAGGATGCCGGCAATGTATTTATTGTCACTGAGTCCTCGCATGCTGATCGACGTAATCACCTGCCAGACAGCCTGTACTACAGCTGTGTTCTGCCTATTTCTTTTTCTCTCAATAGGTAATATCAAGTTGGATCTGTCTTCCCCCAGTTCAGAAGTTCCCCCAGTGTAGAAGCATCATAATTTTTTGAGACGTGAACCTTTTAAAATCCGGTTTTAGAATTGGCTAGCTGATGCAAATATTATTGGGGGAACAGATAGACAAACAAGATGACTGGCATATATCTTCTTTTTAGAAAACCAGTCTAAATAAAATAAGTTATTTGAATGTTGAAGAAATGGTAGGAAAAATGGCGCAGAAAACATAACTGAGTGTAAATAATTTGTAGTACATTTCACCTCAGCTTCACAGAAGTATGACATTGCAATACAAAAAAGTTTCAAAGGAGGGAGGTGGAAAGCATGATAAAGAAAAACTTCTAAGAAAGATTGGGATTGTTTACATTAAGAAAGAAAGAAATGAGAGGGGAAAAAACCCAACCTACTAGTACTGTGGGCTGTAAGTGAAATGAGAATCTACACTCTCACTTCTTGTAAACCCAGAATAGGGGACATTAGGTCATAAATACCAAACTAGTAAAAGGATGTGCTCTTTCAGGTAATGTGAACATTTTTTCAGATACATTACAGCTGCAACCTATTTTCAGGGACACAGTTTTTAAGAGGATCAAAAAAGAACTTGGTAGTTTACATTGACAGCAGTTTTCAGAATTTGTATACTTGATGCCAACAAATTTTAAAGCTCTAATAAAGTTCATTATAAAGAGCCTAAATCAATCCCTAAATACTGCAGATTAGAACAGGACCTAATCGGGGGGAGAAGGGAGAGATGTGCCTAATGGAAGTGTTCTTGCCCTTCCCCTGAAGCAGCTGGAGTTCGCTTCGGCCAGGAACAAAATGCTAGATTTAGAAAGGCAGCAGCTGAGACCCGGTCTGGCAACTGGTGTCTACTGTTGTAAACTGTCGTTAAAGGTTCAAGGAAAGTGTTATTTTAGAATAATATTCTTATTTGCCTTTTCTGTGCCAAAGGAAGTAAACCGTATTCCTTTTAATTTCATTAAAAACGATGTTTTGGTTGGTCAAGTTTGTGTCTCATATGCCTTTCATTTTCTGTGATTAAAATCACAAATAAAAGCTATTGAACAGTAATGTCTGTTGGGTTATGGAATATTTTATGTGGTAGGAGTCTTTATTTCATGATTGTATAGGAAAATAGATTCCATAAAGCATTAGAGATGGCACACTTCCCTCCCTTATTGGAGATTAACATCAAAATGTTGACCTGCCAGAGATAAAGAAGGCCAAAGCTGTGAATCAGTCATAAGTTGGGTGGTTTTTTTTTTTTCCCAGAATGGACTTTCAGCTTTAAACTTGTATTTACAAAACAGCTGTTCTTCTACAAGTCATGAATACCATATGCTATTGGTTTGAAAATAATTTTTGAAAGGTGTTTTATATTCATCTGGCTTTTTCTGTTTTTTCCTTTCTTTTTTTTTGTGCTTCACACTATTTGCAAATTAAAAATTAAGTTGGGTTGCCTTTTCATGGTAATTTTCTATTTTTTTAATTGAATTATTTAGGTTGAAAACACTAAGTAGAAGGGTTTTTTTATATAAAGTCTCTTGCAAATGTGGTATTAACTTGTGAGAAGGAAATGATCTTGTGAAAAGGAAATTATTATGTAGTCCATATGTATATTTAATGTTGGAGTTGTATATTATTTAGAGCACTCCTATACCATTTACCCTGAATATGCTAATACTTTTTAAGGTTTTAGAAACTGCCTCCCTCGCTGGAAGCGCAGACATGCCGGAGGAAATCAAACACGTCTTAGCTGAGAAGAATCAGCTTCAAAATGAACTGCAGCACTGTCTTCAGGAGATACACCAGAAGGATCTGCATTTTCAGCAGATTAATTCAAAGGTAAATTAGAACAACAGCTGTGATCCTAAATAGCTCATGTGAATCTGAGCTGGTATCAACATAGAAATACTGCTAAATTGGCGGTGTCTCATATAATTGAAAGTTAGAGTGCTTTAAGACTTAGATTCTTCAAAACAGCCCTGTTGGCTCGGACTAGAAATTGCAAACTAAATGTCAGTGTTATCTTTCTGTCAGGCTTCCCTGACTTGTTGTTTGACAGAGAAAGGTTTATTTGAATCTGCATTCTGAAGAGATTGATGGGGCATTGCTGAACTTCTCCTCAGAGTAAAGTATTTTTCATTATAGACAGAAGTCTGTCTTAGCTGGAACAAGATTTTAGCTATCTCGCAGCAAATTTTAAATACCTTCAAAAATGTTTCCTTACAATTTCTTAATGAACCCTTTTGTGGCTGTTAAGATGGTGAGTGTGTGTTTGTGTCCGCATGCACATGTGTGTTTGTGTTCTGTTTCCTTTGCAGAAGTTTGTAAACGTTCTTGGAAATTCCCTTAATGCTTATCTCTCTTTGTGTGGCCTGGTGTTGGAAGGAAATTAGTTTTATGTTACCTTTCGTCTGTCATTGTGTCTCTTTTCACTCCTTCACCCAAACATTTTATAAACCTAGTAACAGTTTTAACCAAACTTTGAAACAGGTGTAGAAATCTCAAGCTCCTACAAGTGAAGATGAGTGTTTGGGTAACGGGTGGAGACCCCAGTTATGGTCTGTTTTTTGAAAAGATGAAAACTCGACTGCTGTGCATTCCTGGACTGCCTGGTGAACATGTTTGTGTTATCAGGCTTACTAGGCTGTATGCATTGTCCTGAAGCAGCAGCTACGTCTACTGTCTTTTGCCAGGTGGTGAAATCGTAGCAAACATGGGGAGGAAAGCATTGGGGTTTGAAACCCGGAGTTTCTGGTTTGGGCATGTTGATGACAGGGAAAATCAATCCTCAGGTTTCATTGTTTCCGTTGCTCATAAAACAACTAGTTAAATCTTACCAAACCGTGAGCTTGCCAAAAAAGTTGATGCAATTTTGAAACTAATACTCAGTTGTTTTCAACAGCAGGTCTCAAATCTGTAGTAATTTCCTGGAGGAGATAATTCCTAATTTTTATTTATTTAAATGTTACTTTCTTTCAGGTTGTGCAGTCAGCAGAAGAGAATGCCGTCTTGTCTGCCCAGTTGAAGACACTTTCGCAGACTCTAAGGGATAACCAGCTTCGTTACACTGACTTGCAAAATCGTTATTTAAGACTGGAGAGGGAGTATCAGACCATGCAAGTGACGTCTTTCCAAGGCACTGTTCAGGTAAACAAATATATGGCAATGTTTTTAGGGGTTTTTTTCTTCTGCACTTACGCTTTTCTGGTTTTCATGCTAAAAATGAAGTAAATACTTTTTGTTGTACTGATTCAGTACTTTTGCTAGCCCATGATGTGCTGAAGATAACTGTCTTCATTGTTGTAAAGCTGATTTTATTTGACTTTTCATTTAAGGAAGCTGTTTATACATGCTTTTTTGTTTTGAAGTGTCATCTTGAGTTGGTCTACAGCTGGCAGGGATAATTGGATGATCACTAATCATTGGATCAGCAAAGTTTAGTAGTAATTTCACAGCAGTCATGAATCATTTTGCAAGGTGTTTGAGTAATATTTTCAGAAGTGAGATCTATATCACCAGTTCAGCATTTCAGTACCCTTTGCCAACCCCTCATATACATCTGTAGGCTTACTCCTTTGTGATCTCTTCATTTTTCAAAAGTGTTCCTGTACTGCCTTGGTTATTCCGTAACTATCAATCAATACAAGACCCTAAAATATCATATGGATACATATATAACAACCCTTACTTTTCCATAAACAGAAATAAACACAAACAAGGAGAACTGTAAACTACACAATAAATTAATCCCCCGCTTCTTATCTCATGGACCATTTGGATTCTACCTCTTTCACATATTGATTGCAAAGCATGGGGCTGCTTAACCACAGTTCCCAGTGCTTCCGCACTGCCTAGAGCTCACTAGCTCTGAATTTAGACATTGCTGATGGGGATGCTTTGAGCTTTGTTAGGCATAGATTATCTGAGAGAGGATAAAAGGGAAACTTCAGACTCCCAGCATCACCTCTTCTTCACTTACATATAGCCGTTACTCCCAAACAGTTAATCAGTGCCACCCTGCCTGGTGATCCCAACTTGCTCATGACTTGTCCTAGTCCTACTGCGTGTCCAGGAATTTCTGCTCTGCCGTGCATGTTATGCTATAGCAGTGACCTAGGCAGCTATAGCTACAGTAACTAGTCCAGATAGTCAGGGGGTATTATGAGGGCTGGAAATATAAAGTAGAAATTACGTGCCTGGAATGAAGTCCACAAATGTGAGAAAAAGAATGCAATCCTGTGCAAAATAATTCCGCTACCTTTGTGTCAGCTGGCATGTCTATATGGCATCGTGCGATACCACGCAGGTGTTTTGTCTCGGATTCTGTTAGTGGAATAGCTGTGTTACTTATGAAACTGTGGTCAGTGCTATATTACTATGTGGATGTGCAGATGCATTTCTTCCACTTATTGTTCAGGGATTGCTGTGTTATTTGGCGTACGTGTATCCTTCAAGTCCTGCAGCACACGCAGGCAGTACTTTTCATCAACTTTCTGTTAGAAAACAGGTTTGGAAAATTGCAGTTCCGGAAATTAAAAGATTAAATGGCACAAAGAGTGGTTTGTTCCACTGCTTTGTGGTGCTTATGGCTTCTTTAATTGAAATAAAGATTTTTAGCAACTAGAAAAATGGTAACTGGCTTTTTTTCCCCCTTTAATATTTTCTAGGATGAAAGTAGAGCAGAAGTTCCCCCTGGAGCACCACAGGAAAGATCTGCCGTTATTGTTGAAATAGACAATATGGAGCTAAATGAACTCAGAAAAAGGTCAGGACTGAGAGTGTGTATTAGCAATATTGTTTTCCTGACAGCTGTGCTGTAAGTGTGAAAGTAATGCTTTTCTATCCCTCTAAGGCATTTTGGGAGAAAAGGGAAAGCAGTGGATTTACAGTGGATTAAATGAATCGTAGTCATATTCTTGAATTATTATTATCTGGTAATATTTGTGGTTTGTTTTTTAAAGATCTATACTTATCGGTGACTTTATTGCAATATCTAATCTAAAGCATCTCATTATAATTAAGTCTTCATCACAAAAAAGAACATTCCTCAATAAAAAAGAACAAGAAATTAACTCTTTAAGTACGTAAAATACTGATTTCAGATTTCATTTTGTCATAGGCTTGCAGAGACTGAGCAACAATATGATTCAGTGCAGCAGGCGCTCTCACAGCTGACAGAAACACTGTCAGAAGAGAAGAGGAGGAGAGAAGCTGCAGAAGAGGCTCTCGGACTCTCTGAGGAGCGAAGTAACAGGTAAAATACTCCTGTCCGTAAAACAGGGCGTGTTTTTTCTTTTGAAAAAAAAGCGTCTGTAAAATTTCTTTCTCTTCTCTTATACTTTTGAAGTATGTGACAGATTGCTGCATTGAACCCTTATGTGGGTGTGAAATAACTTGTGTGTTCAGAGAGCCAAAGCCATCTTTCGCTTCTGCTTTTCATTTGCACTATGCCTGGAGTAAATGCAAAGTGTACTACAGAACTGGAAACGGGAGTGTCAGATGTTTTGTTTGCCTTCTACTTTAGTGAGATTAGTGATAGGTTTTCCTATGGGTGTTAGATTTCTGAGCAAATAATAGAACAAACAAATAATAGAACCTGTTTGTGAGTCCACAATAGCTGAAGCAGTGAAAACACATGTGTAACTGTGTTAAAACCCTACGTCTAACTCTGTGGATCAAGAAATGTTACGGGCTTTGGGATTTTTTTTTCTTTCTTCCATTTCTTGCTTCAGATGTTGGACTTGGCAGTGAGTGGTATTTCTTTTTTTCCGAGTTAGGAAAAAAACCTCACATATTACAGCTTTAGTACATCCACTGTTTGGATTTAAAATATCATTATCCATCTGCCTACATAAAGTGCACTACACTACTATCATCTGAAAATCGCTCTTCAATCAGCTAGTGAGGATGGGGGTTATTCTGAATAAATAAAACACCTTGAGAATAGATTGCAAATAGAGACTGAAAAAGACATGGCAACATAAACTAAGTCTTACTGCTTTTTGTGGGGACCTTCCCCCAGTAATGTAAGTATACAAAATAATGTTTCTTATGTGAATTTGGTACTTTAAAAGAGCAGATAATTTAGTACTCCATTGTCTCCCTTTAATTTTTCTCTAGATTTGAAGTAAGCAGTTACAGGTCTGTACCTAGCGAATACACTGTTCAGATGGAAAGTGAGGAGGAAAGAGAAGCCTTAATCATCAATCCTAGTGAACATGTTATTGTACGAAAAGTAAGTAAACGAAAGCTTTTTAAAACCCCTGAATTATAAGCTACTTAAAAGTGGTGTGCATATTGTGTACTGCTAGTTGGAGACTGGATTGAAGACAGCACAGTGCATAATCTCCTTCATGCTACCCCTTTCTTTTTTCTGTCTTCCCTCTGCTATACCTTTCTTTCAACTGTCACTCGTTCTTGGAGTGTGGATTTCCCTTCTGAGTGACTGGGAGTCACTGATTTTGGGTTGTCCTCTTTATATGTAAACACCAGCATGAAGCAGCTACTTGTCTCATCCGCCTTGTCTCTGAAAAGCTGACTGTGAAGTACTCTGTTGTTGTTAGGTATTGTGGGCCACAGAGGCATCCATTCAAAGTAGCAAACTACTACTGAAACTACATTTTACTGAAAAAATGTCCTTAATTTCTTTCTGTTTGGGTTGTGGATGGTGAGGCAAATACAGGCAGCCGTGTAAACCATGCCATAGAACACATGACATATGTCCAAATTACAATGTGAGTAATCATATTTATATTACACATGTGGCCAGTAAATAAAATGTGTATGCATATAATTATGCATTTTCATCTCTAGTATGTAAATGTAATTAAATAATATGCAAATACCTTGTATCCATTCCTCTCCCCTTTTATTAATGCTGTTTTCTTTGGCCTTTAAATCATTTATGCTGACAGCCTGTGCTGCGGCATCCACTGCTGCATCAGAGGCAAAAGGATTATAGTGCCTCAGAAATCTAAGTTGCAGTGGAGCTTTTTCTCATTTGTATTCATGATTACTTATTTGATGTTTTTTGTTTCCTAACCAGGTGAAAGGAGGAGCCCTTTCCTTCCGAAGATGGCTTCGAGGGCGAAGTCTTTACTGTTCTAAGCTGCTGACCTCCAGGGCAAAATCCCGCTATTTATTCCTCACATACCTAGTTACACTACATCTTGTTGTTTTACTGTGCCTCACCGGTGTTCTCTGAATACACTGCATTTTCTGGGTAAATTATTTCCCTGTAGGTAATGGTGTGCCAATTCAAGATAATAGACTTTTCACATGCTGCTGTTAAGCTATGCACTGGACACAGTTGTATATATTCTTGTTACACTACACGAATCTTGAGCTTCTTAAAAGAAATTTGTGTATATCACAGTTGCTCCAAAGTTGACTTGAATTGCTCTTTAACAGTGGAATATTATATTTGCTAAGGAGAAGATATTCCCCTCTGCCCTATAAAGAAAACTGCTGCATACAAGTTATTTAATATTGTTTGTGAGTACATAATGATTGATTACTACTGAATGGGTTGTAAATGATATCTTTTCTATATAAATTTTATTTTAAGAGTTAAACTATAAATTTTAAAGGAATATTCAGCTATTACTGTTTATTGGCTTCTTGATTACAACAAGAAGTTTTATAGAGTGCAATAAAGGAAGAACTACTGGATTTTTTTTTTTTTTTGGCTGAAAATAAAAGCATTTAAGAAGGTTGTTCTTTGGCCATACAGTTTGTAATGGCTCTGACAAGGTGCACGGATATGTATGTGGTAATGAGGTAAGCCGATGATTAAAGATTCAGTAAAGATTCAGAGTTGAGATGACATTAAGAAATCTCTTCAACTTCTTACTCCTTTACTGTTGTTTAAAGGTGCAATTTCTGTAACTTTTCTCGTGTTTTTTGGTTTTTTTTTTTAAATTCACTTGCACTTCTTGTCTTGGTGGGTTTAGTTACTGCCTGTCTTAGGGGCAAAATGTTACTCAGCTGCTCCACACATGAAATTCAAGCTTGTAAAGATGCAACCTTCCGTATTTTACATGTTTGGGCTTCAAGATACAAAGGAATAAAGGGTACATTTTCAACTAAGAGGCTATAAGAAGCAGGATTTGCATTCAGTTTCTGTAGACAAGTAATAGTGTTGTGCGTTGCATATTAATACATCCATGTTTTGTTACAATGTTCTCTGAAACTGCACAACTATTTCTCTGACTCAAAAAATAGCTTATTTGTGAAGACTGTGGCCACTGGAAGCTGGCAGGTTGTTTTTACACCCTGTATTGTTGTTTGGTGTTTGTTCTCTCTGTGTTTCCGCTCACATCTGTATAAAATGGAGATACAATCAAAACAAGCCGAGTCTAAAGGAGTAGATAAAATCACAAAAAAGCAGTAGCCGTTTGATTTCCTGTTTGCTAGACTAAAATCCTAAAAATCTTGTGGGGAAAAGAAAAACCTAATGAGTATGGAAATGGAAGGATTCCATCAGTTTTACCGATGGGCAGATGCAAGGTTGGCTTTGAAGAGGTGTTAGTGAAGTGAATTATCTGCTTAAGGTCCAAGGATTCTTGTACGCGAGGTCTGCGTGACAGCTAAGAAAGAAGGATTGGTTGGCATTTACATTTGCAGAGTTAACATTTACCAAATTGTATCTGATGTTCTGCATCGCTTGTGTTTGTCACGTGGAATGGGGAATATTGCCAGCCGTAGTTACCACTGTAGGTAAAGCCTGTAAACTTTCTTCTTTCGATGGTTAATATTTCTTAGTCTAGTAAAGGTCTGGATTTCTATATCAATCCAATGTATTCTAATGGAATTGATGTCTTCTTTTTTCTTTTTTTTTTGCAAAATGGTAATGGCTCATCTCTTTTGAATGGCTGGTTGCTGATTCAGTCCCCGTTTTCAGCCATAGTGTCACCCAAGTACTGAGATAAGTCAGCTATTTTCAGTCTTTGCGCCACACAAACACACACCAGGTACAGTTGAAACATGAGTACTGTACATGGTAAGACTTTTCCCTTTCCAGCTTGAAGATGGGTGTTAACAGAATGATAGTGAGCTATTCTTAGCTAATTGTGTTATAATGAAGCAGAATGCTTTCCAATTACAACAGTGGGCCTACAAATCCTTCCAGTCTCACTCATCTAGTGTGAGGGATTTTTGTCCTGAGGGGAGAAAACAACCCTCTGTCATGAGGCATAGCAAGTTAGCGAGTGGGAAAGGATCCAGAGATGTTAGAAATTCTGCCCTAATTTATCCAGGCCTTTGTGCTGTCACTGTGATAAGCACAAACTGAAAGAAAGTTTCCAAAAATGGCTTGACGCATGTAGATACTCTGTGAACTCCATTCCAGAAGCTGATATAAACGTAATGGAAGGTGAGATCGTGTCATTTGCAAAGAGGCTTCTACAAATCATCACCATTTCCTGGGTAAGTATCGCCCTGAGAGTTCTTTCGTGTTACAGTTCATGATTTTAATGCTTCGCTTCCCTTGGTCTGAGACCTTTTGGGGATTTGCACACTTCTTGCACTTGGATGCTGTTTGCCTCAGGCTTTGAAGGAATTCCAAAGGGTCCCCTGGGGTAAGGTAAATCAGGTTTGACTACACGGTTGCAGGGAAACGTGCGGACGTTCCTCATCGCTGGAAGGATCAGTAGTGTGCAATGAAACCTTCTTGGTCTATTTGAAACCTGGAAGAACACTTCAGTAGTGTTTGGTGTCTGGACATCAGGCCTTACGCAGAAACCAAAAGGAAGGTTTCTGTTAATTGTATTTAATTTTGCACTGGGAATTAGAAAAATAAAAATCGAAACTAAAAATAAAGCAAATTTAGGAAATGTATTTAGGAACTTCATCTGGTGAAAAGATTTCCGAATAGTTGCTTTGTGGAAATGATTATTAAACCTATAAATTCAGCAGCTGTAAAGCAATACCATGACTCAATCAATGAAAATTTTAAGTAGTGCTCCTTATTAGTTCATTCACCTTGTAATGATAAGCAAAGCAAGATAATTTTTAAAAAAAAAAAGGAAATGAACAAATACAGCCATTGATTTTATTAGTGTCAGTGGCTTCTCTGGAATCTAATGGAGTGAGTGTAAACAATTGCTGCCAGCACTCTAAAGTGTAACTTGTACAGATCAGCTGGGGTTTCCCTGTGAATTTTGTTTCTCCGGGTATGGCTGTACTGACCTTAGTTTTACCTCTAAAGCTATATATGAAACGCTGCGTGTATGAAGGAATGCGAATATTATTTCCTACCGCGGAGGATTAAACGTCTTGGTCCTATCCAGCTTTCTTTAGAGCCAAGGCACGATGCTGAGCTCTCAGAGCTTTGTAGCATTTCTCTACTTTAAAATTCTCTACTCTTAAATTCTAGTATCTCATCTGATGTCATTTCTGATGTATTTAAGAACTGAGTTTCCTTCTGTTTTACATTGATGGAGTCGGAGTCTGGGTGCAGTTCTGTGATGTTGGATACTGCTGGTAAATGGTTGGTTTATTGCTTTCTAAAAGCCTTTTACTGAGGGTTTTAGAAGAAAATAACAATTCATGGCAACGTGAATGAATGTTCCAAAATACCAGCTACTAGAACTAATGGTTAAACATTCCTATATTAAAGCTGTTAACAAATTTATGTGGTAAAATTATTCTGCTTCCTTATGTGAAAAAGAATCTTCCAGTCACAGGCACGTCAACAAGAATTAAAATGCTTTTTCTGATTTAAAATAATGTCATATTTTCGAATTATGCTTCCATCTCACCTGCGAGCGTTGGGATCAGTCATGTCACAGCCTTGCTTTGTAAAGCATATGGGAAAGGATTGAACACCAGGAACTTCGTGCAGCTCAAACTTTAAAAACCGTAACTGTCCCGTTTGTAAATCTCCAGGGACTTTGGTATTCTTGCAGGGACTGTCTGAACAGAGCGAGATATTTTAAACCCCACAAATAGGACAGCGTGAATTGGTTGCAGGGCAGACCCTAATGCTGGTGGCTGTTCTGCCATCGCTCCTGGCCTGCCTGTGCACGTAGCACTCAGGTGGAACTGTAATACCATCGGAAGCCAAATACATTTTTGCATTAATCGCAAAAACGATGCTTAATACATTTTTGCATTGTTAGGGACCGCAGCTTTGCTGGACAAGTGCTGTTTTTCATTCCTTTTCCCATTTCTGAAGTACCCTTACCGAGTGAAGTGCCAGAGAAGGAAAAAGAAAATCCTTCCCTCTCCTTGACTGCCTAAAGAGGCAATCGTACAGTCCTAAAAATAACCAAGGAATCCGAAACAGAAGTCTTGGTGAAATTCAGGCCCTCCCTCGGTGGGAGTTTTGCCATGAATTTCAATGAGTTCAGGACTGCGTCTGATGTGTTGGCCAACTGCTGAAGTCGAGTTGTTCCTGGGCGGTTGTGCCAGCTGCCTCTTGTTCTGTTTCCCAGAATAACCACTTTGATAAGGTGTTTACCGCTTACAAATATGGGATAGGTCCTGTAGTGAGCACTTCACATTACAGAGGAGCTGTCACTTAAAACCACACAGCAAACGCTTCCCTGAAACTTTTTTGTGTAGTTTATTTTTAGTTGTTTTACCATCTAACTACTAATGTTATAACTGGTAGGTGCATATGATCAATTCATTTTTAACAAATGAAATTTCTAGAAGATAATTCAGCCTTGGAAGAGACGGGGTTATGCTTGCTTAAGTCCAAGTAGAGCTGAATGTGTATCCTCTAGCTGAACTTGTCCCATGGTCACAAGGCCAATTAACAGAATATCACAGGACCCTTTGAGGCTACAGCAGGGGAGATTTCCCTTTTGGAAACAAAAGCTGAATGTCCCGATTAATTTGTTTCAGTAAAACCTGTTCAAGCTGAAATTTATGTAGATACTTAACGTGCTTTGCAAGACTGGGGCTTTAGCATAGGCTTTGCTGTTTAGGTTTATTCTTTTCCAAAATGACTTTCTACAGCAGTTTGCTCTCTAAATGATGGACAGTTGCTTCTGTCCTATTCCCTTCCATCTCCTTCCCCTCCAAATTACTTTTGCAGCCAAAATTGTGAGGCACTATGTGCGATGACGATGAAACCACTGCCCTTGTATGTGACAATGGTTCTGGGCTTTGCAAAGCTGGGTTTGCAGGAGACGATGCCCCAAGAGCTGTATTTCCATCCATCGTTGGACGTCCTCGACATCAGGTCAGTTGGTACCGAAATGGAAGTGCTGTCTGGTTTGGGTAGTTTTGGGTTGGTTTTGGTTTTTTTGTGGGGTTTTTTGAGACTTTAGGTATGGCGGCGATAAAGCATCGGATTTATTCAGGCAAAACTCCCATCGGCCTTTGTAGTTTAGCTTGCTAAGAACTGGAGGATTGAGCTGCACGTCTTTAATACTACGAGGTAAACTTATTGATCCTTTGGAAAAGGTGTTCTTCAGCCATAAAATGTTGACTCTAAAAGAACATAAGTGTTTTAATGATATTAAGGTGTCTTATGGGAAAAAAAACCCACCCAACTTGCTGGATGAATTAATACTTGCTGTATTAATACAAAGAAAAAAGATAGGCAGAACATTTCTAGCATGAGAAACCAAATGAATAATAGCGATAAGTTCCTCTTATTGTTCCATTAAGCAAAAGTGTGGCCCAATAAACTTCCAAAAAAGGTCTCTAGCACATCACTTTCTCAACTCAAACAGGACTGGAAAGGATAAATGTGGCTTTTCTTGACCTTAGAAAGGGTCTTTCTGCTTAATTAGTTTTCTAACAGTTCCTTTAGAAATAGAAGATGCAGATTTTTGTTCATTTTTTTAAATATCTGAGTCAGATTTTAATTTTCTGGGCTATAAAAACCCTTCCCTGAAGTCTTATGTGGTCTTTTGCTGAGCTAAATAAGCCTGGTTTGACAGGCGCAGAATACTAAGCATTTTAAGGAATGCGTTTTGAACACCTCTATGAATTGCTGAAGTTGAATATCAGTTGCTGAAAACGTCCACTCTTTAACCTCTCAAATTGTTCATTGGCTTTTGGCATGTAATTTTGCACAGTTAAGCAGCTCAGCAGCTGTATTAACGAATCCATGGAATTAATGAATCCATGAGAAAAATTAAATCTTTTTATGCTAGCTGATGAATAATATTTTACCTCGTATGTTGTTACATTATTTGGGGCAATCATGATAGGCTTCCTAATGCAAACGTGATAAACTTAGTAAAACTATTATTTAATAAGTGAGTCTTCTTTTAGAAAACCTGTCTCTGTCTTATATACATTAATGCTTTTTTGCAAAACGTGTGTTTTTCAAAACCATTTCACTTCCAGCAAAGAGGGATCTCTTAAAGGCAGTAGTGGAACTGCCTAGACAGAAAGGGCAACCAAATATATAAAGTAAATCTGGGGAGACTGTATCTTTTTCACCTGTAATTCCTTCCCTTTATTCCTCTGTGCAATGACAAGGGACCCGTCCCTTGTGGAGAACCACGCGTTTGCTGATGCCTGCCTTGGCTGGGCTCCTGCACGGGCATTAGTCGCACCGAGCGTGAGAGACCTTCCTTCCTCTTTGAAGCTGCCTTGCCCTTCCCGGGGGGTTGACGGGGGAGTTAGTGCAGAGTCGGTGGTTACCGATAAACTCACATTTTAGTTCCTTGCACGTTTTGGGGGGTACGTTCTAGAATGGCAGTAGCAGTAGCGGGTACGATATTAAGCTTTAACTTAAAAACGATATTCTCTCTCTAATGTGCATGATATACTGCACTAATATTAGAATAATGTACTTTGCAGGGTGTTATGGTTGGAATGGGTCAAAAAGACAGCTATGTAGGGGATGAAGCACAAAGTAAAAGAGGGATCCTGACACTGAAGTATCCCATTGAGCATGGAATCATCACTAACTGGGATGACATGGAAAAGGTGGGTGTTTATTTTTAATGTAATTTTGTTGAGGCACCGTCTTATCCAAGACATACAATCTGCCGTTAACCTTCTTGCAAACCAGAGGGAAAATCCTTGCAGAATGTGTAATTGCAGTAAAGGTAAAGGGTTAGTACAATATACTAGTGCAGGAGTTGATTGGGTCTCGGCACTTCTAGAGTGACTAGTCTTTGAAAAAGTCAGTGCTAATTACTCATCATTTTTGGCAGTATGTTATAAAATTATTTTATGCTTTATACATACTGTTTTCAGTCTTGAAGTTCCTACTGAGGCAGAACGTTTGACAATGATAGAAAGTAGCTAAAGTAAAAAAAAAAAAACAAACCAAAACCAACCAAAACCAGGTTGTGATTCATCAGAGGTGAATCAGAGAAATATTAAAGATACGTTACTGGAGCTGGGAACAAAAACTGTGAGGTGGAGGGGTGATTTTCTCTCCTCAGTACTTGCCTACATGAACAAGATGATGGGCGATGCCCACATCTCGTACTGCACATGACATTCTCGCTGTCAATTAAAGAGGAAAAGACAGATTGGGGCTTCCTATCCCTATACTAATTCTTTGAGAGTGGGATTTTTTTTTTTTCCCTGAAAGGTGTTTTTCTGTTGCCAATTCCAGTCAGCTTTTAATGTCTGGATGGCGAGAAGGCGTCTTTATTGCCCATCAAGCCCCACTTGCTCGGCGTGCGGCCAGTGCAGTGGCCTCTTTGTGAAACGCCCGCTTAAGGATGTCCCAGACCAGGCACAGGAGATGAGGTGCGCTCGTGGGAGAAGCTGGAGAGGCAGGAGGAGTCCTAAGGGCTCTCTCACTCTGCTAAATATCTCTGATATCCCGTATGTCCTGGTCTCTTCAGGAAGCATCGGACTCTGTATGTGGAAATATTGTAGGTCGTCTTTAAAGGCAGGATTGCAATTCAGTCCCTTGTCATCTCCAGGAGGGATGGTATGGGAAGGAAACTCCACGAGCACATGCTTCTGGTAGTGTTTTGCTGTGGAAAACACCACTGAAAGGAAGACACGGGGCCGGTGGTGTTCTGTCCTCACACTTGCTGAGACGAGGCGTAGACAGCTATAATACGCGTATCTAAAGTCAGCTACTGTGTCATATTCGTGAACCCAAATTGATAAGCACAGAGTGTTCCAGATGAACAGACCAAGGTCGATACAGGAGCAATGGGGGTTCCTCAGTTCATATTTGGAAATAAATTGCCCACCTACTCCTCTAGATGGAAGCACAGTATTTGCATTTCATTACGCACTGCTTGCTGGGAGGACACCTTGCTCGTTTCTGCAGAGTAGGAAGTCTACCTCATACACCCCGTTATGATGTTCTTCCTGATAATTTTCCTGCTGTCTGCATTCAGCAAGAAATTCTATTTCCCTGTAGGGGAAAAAAAAAAAGAAATTAGAGGTCACTATTTTATGTTCTTCCCGCAGCGATTGGTCTCTGCATCTGGAAATTGTCCTGGGTATAACACATACTGGTACGTGTTCTTTTTCTGGGTAATGCTGGATGCTAGAGCAAGCTATCTAAAATTTGGTTAGGAAAAGGAATAGGTAGGTAAGGTAAAATTAGGAAGGTAAATTAGGAAGGTAAAAAAGGTGGCGTGCGCTTTACTGTAGTGTAAACTCGTGGCTAAATTGGTTATTTTTAGGGCGTAATGTGGTGGAGGCTTCAGGCAGTGCGGTAATTCAAATAATGGTCAGATACTGTATGGGTTCTTGCAGTTTGAACTTTTCTTCTCTTTGTCACTTAAACGGATGAAGGAATTACTTGTGAAAGTGGGTCCCTAGCCCAAACTTACCTTCTTCTGACATACAGCTTGCAACATGCAGTAGCTGGCAAAGATGTTCCAACACTGAGTTGTGCTGGGACTTCTTGCTGAGCCCAGGAGCAGAGCGGGACAGAAAGCGGAGGCTGCTTTCCAGTGAATGAGCAATGAGCGACAAACAGAAAAAAGAAGCATGAGAGAAAGGCAGTGGTAGGAAAGAGATAAGAAACAGCGTTGCTAACTTTTGTGGTTATTGCAAATAAGAAAAAAAGCATTTTTTTTCTTATATACGGGCTTCCCTGATTCAACCATGTATCTCAACTTCCCCTGAAGCTCTGTAACACACACACGCATGCACATGTGCACACACTCTTATGGCTGAGAGAAGTTCTGAAATGCAATTCCTAAAGTTTTGATGCTAAGGGAATATCTTTTGTATATGCATCTTTTTGTTCCCGTCCCCCCCCCCCCCCCCCAACATTTTTTAAACCAGTTGCATAATTTTGATCCGAACCACAAATTTCTTTCCAGTGCTTGGAAATCATACTACTAAAAGCATCATGATGTGGAAGAAACAAGAGAATTACTGGGTAACGTGCCAAAAATGGGACAAAGGCATAATAGTGCAGTGCCCGACCATCCACACGTTACAAAAAGAGGGGGGTCATCAAAAGATTGGGCTGAGTGTGCATGTGTGTGAGAAAGCGAGAGCGAGGATGCTGCAGGACATTCGTGTGAATGGAGGAGGAGAACGTGTAGGCAATGAAATGAAGCATTCTTCTTCTCCTGTGCTTCAGTCCACAAGATTCAAATTGGGACTGCTGTTTTCCGCTGGATAATAATACAGGGCATTGTACATCACTGTTAATTTGCTCGCAGCAACTGAGCTGACAACGTATGGGAGGGAAAGCGTCGGGATGGAGCGTTTTCTGGCTCTGGTGACTACGTAAATATTTTAATATAAGTGTTGGAATAATTCTTCCTCAGTAATTTCTCTTTGCTATTGTGCTTGCTGCTTACAGTTAATTCTCATGACCTATAAAATCCAACACCGAACTATTTTTGTTTCTTGTAGAATATCATTATCCATTAACATTATGGTTAGCATTAGGTCGAATCTAATGGGCTGTACAGTGCCTAATCCAGCCTGGTTTTGAGGAAAACCCTGCAAACTGCCCGAGGTTTAGGCAGGGTCCTGCTTTATGAGTCCAGGTTTGTTCCTCACTGCTGAAATTGCCAGTACTTTGTTAATTATGTAAGTATGGAGGTTTCCTTCTCTTCCCTTAGTTCTTTCCTGTCTGAAATGGCAGTCTTTTTCTTCTTGTATCTGATTTATATTTTAAAATTTTACATGATTACTTTCTGTTTTATTCAACTTCTCCCTGTATTTGTATTCTAAACCTTCAAATGGAAGATGACCCGGCATCCCAAGCCCCAGTTCTGGAAACATCTGATAATTATTTTTTTAGGGGACTGAGATGGAATTGAAATTTTTTTTGAGGGCTGATAATTTTCTTCACAATTCCAGCTCTGGACAGCTATTGACTTTGTAGGTGCTTCGGATTAAGAGAAGATCTCTTTTCCACTTAAGTTCATTTTGGAGCATAACGGTACTTGTTTCTAGGATATTAATCAAATAAACTTACCCGTAAAACTATCCTGATGTTTTGTGCTCAGAAGTAAACTTGTTGGGTCAGGCAAAGCTGGAATATGATTAAAAAAAGAAATAAGGATAGGAAAGAATTGAACAAGAAGGTAAGAAATATTTCATCATGTTACTGAACAGTCTGTCTTTGAGCTGGCATCAAGAAAAAAATCCCTTCAGTTCCTCGCAGCCATAGTCCTCAGACGATCGAAGCCGGCATCGTTTGATACAGGTAGCACCAACGTGAAAAAATACGACAGTACTTTACAGACTGTGACTAAGAAATTTAGTTACTCTATAGTAAGTGAGAGTTTGATTCAGGGTTTACTGGATGAAATATCTGTGGCATAAAGGGTCTTTCGCTTCTGTGGAGATAATTAGATTTCTAAAGAGCATCTTGGCAATGGCTTGCAACTGGATCAGTCTCCGGGCAGCTTGAGGTGGAGAAGTGTTTCCAGGTCTAAACAACTCAGTGCTCGGCTCAGCTTATGTATCAGGGCACTGGGGGTGGGAACTGACCGATGCCCCTGCTTAGAAAGGATGATCTATACTCTGTTTGGGGAATCCTAACTGGAAGGACTCTGTTGTGTAGGTTATATTCTGTTGTTACACACAGTAGAAACGCAATGGTTTTGGTTCTAATTTGGAGTTGAATTTGGCAGATTCGCTCTTGCATGCTTTCTGTCTATTTTAATATGTCTGGGAAAA